TGAGCCAAATCATTCTTATGATTCAAACTTAATTTGAAAAAATTGATATTCCTTGAAAAATTATTAAATATATCTAATATAAAATAATACACAATGATCTAATACAGAATAAATCACAAAATGAGAATAAGCATTTCTTATTTGTTTTTATCACATCATCTTTGCTTTAATATCTTTGAGAAAATACCTCGAAAAACTTGAAAGTGTATTGGATGCATGCATATTTACTGTATTTCAAATGAAACAACGATTCTTCCCAAGAGTATCGTCACCATTTTAAGATGAGACTTTTCATTAAACAACTATATGCACTCTACTAATTCGAGATGCACTGCTTGTGCAGTAAAAAATATGCAGTGACTGCGAATTAAAACCAATTCAACAATGCAAGAAACCAGAAATCAGCACAAGAATATTAAAAAGCTGAAAAGTGTACTGTAAGATTGCTCTAGTATAACAAAAGATTAGCATAATCTGGATTTATCAATAATACAACTGCTCTCATTTGAAAAGCGAAACTGACCGTGTTTAGTCAATTAATATTAAACTAACAATTAAATATCTCATCACATCATTCTTTTTACTATGAAAACAGAAAGAATAATTGTATCTAGTATAGCGAGTTTAATACATATTTCTTGGTGATATAAAAATTTGAGGTCAGTTTAAAGCGATAAGATGAGAGATCTTATGGGAAATTGCAATCGATATATAATGCAGATAAAAATGGCGATCTTGTTATAAGATACAAGGTGCCCTGAAGAGCTTGTTTTTGAAATCGATCTATCTGATATGCAAGAACGTATCTTCGAGATCGAAGTATTTAATGCAAATTGAATCAAATAAAATTCAAATTGAGTAATATCATTGTCATATATATTTTATCCAATGCAAAATTAATTTTTTTATAAATATATTATTTACAAAAACTGTAATAACTATTAATATATAAATTATTGAAAAAACATTAAATATTTGCACGTGATATACCACACATCAGTTTTTATATTTACATTAAAATAAGAAAAAACAAATTACTATTTCTATGATACTTCTACTATTTTCTTAACAAGTACTAGATTAAGTCTAAAAGATTAAAAATGTTTTGATATAACTAATAATGAATTATTTTTATTGTTAAATAGCATTATTTTTCACAGTTTTATCGATTCTCTAAACAGTGATTTAATTTATAGAGATACAAGAGTATCTAATTTTAAAATATTAATAAGTGTAAATAAAATAAATTTTCATTTTTCAGATTTTACTGAAGAAGTCTGTTTAAATTCTTTAAAAAACAGAAAATGTGTGGCAAATTTGAAACATTTAAAATGAAATATATTTAATAATTAATTTTTAATTAATATTTAAATACTAAATAATAAATATTAATTATCAAAATAGCGCATCAAGCATTTTATATTATTCGGGTAATTTAAAAAAATAGCAAGCAAAGTTATTTATCTTTTTTATGTTATATACTTGTCAATAAAATATTTCAATACAAAAGTAATAAATAAAGTTATTTAATATTAAAGTTATTTGATATTAAATATTGAAAGTGCGTTATATATGACATGTAAATAAAAAAAGCATAAAAACAATAAGAAAACACATATTCTCATATTAAAAAATGACACAAAAAGAATAATTTTGTAGAATTATTTCTTTATCTTTTATACTTGTAGTATCATTTATGTTTTTAAATATACATATAAATCAGGACAAATTTTATTTATTAATCGATTAATGTTTAGTTCGTAGAAATATATATATATATATATATATATATATATATATAATCTTAACCTTATAATTATATGTCTTTCAATTATCTCTATCTCTTTCAATTATCTCTATCAATATATAATTTAAATAAAAATCTTCGATTTCTATTAACTAAATTTTTTAATCGATTAATGAATAAAACTTGTAATGTTTTTGATTAAATAACAGTGCAAGTGATGAAGTGAATAGCAGAATAAGAGAAAATAAATTAAATGATTATACGCAGTTATAGTTTGAGAGTAATAATTTGAGTTAAAATTTTTTCAATTGAAGACACAATATTCAAATACCGACATTACAAAAACAATAATAATAAATTTACAATAATTCTTCAAATATACTTGACAAGGATGCGGTGATTTTGCATAAAAACACGTCGTTCATGTAAATGTAAATAGTGTTTTGCACTCAAGTCTCTTGCGCATTGATTTTAATACAAATTTACTTGTAAAATTGTATCATTAATGATGAATTGTCTCATGAAATTTTAAACACATCCTATCCGATTATTTTAAAAATAATTGTACATTAGTATTATATCAACACTGATTTATGAAATTATTTTAGCTGTTTGACACGTAAAGTTGGGTAGACAAATCAATTTATAATAATTATTTTTAATAAATAATTATTCTTGAAGTCTCCAATTATAGTCATAATTTAATTTATCATTTTGATTCTTTCTAAGAAATTAAAATACTAGAATCAACTTTCTTAATAATAGACACAGCACAGAGAAATTCCTTGAATATTGAAATACAATTACTTATTTTGAATTCACACAAAACTAATAGAGATTACAATTTTATTTATGTGACTTCTGTTTTAAATTTTCTTATTTATAAAACTATTAATTATAGAATAAGTATGTTGTTAAATACTATTGTACTTTCGATATTAATTAAGATAGTAAATTTGCTAACGATGCATCTACGAAAAAACTATAGATATTATATATAATACTTTAATATGATTTCCCCCGAGTTGCTTCAGTTATTCATAAGCTCAAACTAATTTAATTTATGCAATTATGAAGGGCGCATAATTATGGTCAGCATTTCAATAAGAAGTTTGTTAGTAGTGCAGTTTAATCCCATATATGTTTTCATTCTCTAAAATTCTCTCTATCTATCTATCTATCTAACTAAAAAATTATAAAAAATGTCAAAAAAATTTAATGTCAAATTAACTTTTGCCTTGTTGAATTTGTATAAAAGCACAAAATATTAATTTTTGAAAATTAAGAGAATATAAAAATTAATATTGTCAAATATAAAGAAAATAGCATTGGAAAACTATTTATTCAATTTTATATTAAATTGTGAAAATCTTGAAATATCTCTGAGAATTTACACTCTCCAGTAGCGGCTACCAAATACACCATATCTTCATCGTGGTTTCGATCTGTCAAATATCTATATTTTTAAGTTTTTAGATTGTAGTTTCTTTCAATCTTCATGATCTTTTCTCCGGATTTTGAAAGTTTAAACACTATTTTAATAAGTCATCTGTAGTAGCTGTTACCACATAAGTTTTATGGATCTATATTTATGAAAAAAAATTCTTAAATAATTATGAAAAAATTTCTCAATTAATAATTTAAAATTTTATTAGGATTAAAATTAGCGCATAAAAAATTAAATTTTACATTAATTTATATATAAAATTTTATTTTATATTATATTAATATCTTGATAAAAAAGGCTTAAGATAACGTTTCTTATATATTGGTAAGTAACTTAATATTATCTAAAAAATAATTTTTTTTAAGATTTTTTATATGTTTGATATTTTGATTCTGACACTGCTTTTGTGCCTATCATAACTTGTAAACTGTTATCTTATTTAAGCTAACCTTTGATCATTTTCCTCCATTTTCTTGCTTTTAAGATTTATACAATTAATAGTATAATTCATAATATAATTTCTATATTTTTATTATAGGTTAAAAATTGTCTTTTTATATATATTATGCTTCTTTAAAATATTTTTTTTTAAAGTCAACAATGTAATATTATAGCCTGTTATATAACTTTAATTAGATTGAATAAATATTAATATTAATACTAAAATATTAATACTAAATATATATAACTTACCAAATAATTAACAACCAGATGTAGCAATTCATACGTATCAATCAAAATTTATCTCACAATGTAAATTCAATTTGCTCAATTAATTATATCATTACTAACATATAAATAACAATTAAATACATAATCTATTAATATATCAGTCATTAATTTACATAAATAATCTGTTTAACATGTTTCGTGCAATTATTGTTATAATGAAATACATATAAATATAACATTATGAGTTATACTATCATGATACAAGTGTTAACATAGCATCCCATTAATTATTTGTGTTCCCGTCTTACAAGACTTTATTAATTAAAGTGTTTGCAATATAGCAAAGTGCTCGAAAACCAACATCAAGCACGTCGTATGTCGCTTATAAAATATAGTCTTATATAATGTTGCATATTTCGTATCATGTGCATATATTATGTGCACATAATATACAATATCCGGGACCTTATAAAAATTAGCTTATGAAAAAACTATATACTTAGATGTAACTGTAGTTAAAATAGATTTATGAGTAATACTTAAAAAAGTTGTTATGTTTGCACGTTTAAAACAAAATAAAAATAAAAATAAATGTTCTTATTATTAATTATATATCTTAATTATTTTTGTAATAAATATGATATAATTTTGTATATGTTAAGTATTAAAAATATTATTAAAAATATTATTAAATTCTTAATTCTTTCGTTCACATCTTCATAAATAAGTAATTGCATTATCAATTTTGTAAAATCGTCAATGTAAAATGTTAGTGTTATTTGTAGTGCGTATTTTTTAGTATGTATAATAAAGAATTTTATATAAGTATATATAAATATAATAATTTATCTAGTGATATATTTAATAATTAATTTATTACAGCATTATTTACAGCGTTTCTAATTATCTATGATAAATTTATTTATCGTTTTATTCGATCTATTATCAGGTTGCTGAATTTATAGCGGAGTTTAGACGGAAACTGTTGGCGTGATTAATTCATTAGTATGTAGATATGCAGCTAATTGTCCTCTGAAGAACATTCAAAATCACATTTTATCATCTTATCTCACATGCAATCATTACAATGTCTTTAAAAATTAATTAAAAATAAAATTTTTTTATGCATCTTACTTTATAATGCTTGTTCCAACTTGCATTCGAATTAAAGACACATGATTACTGAAGTTATCCTTTTTTCAATTCACAAAATTTACACACTTTCAATACGTTAAGTACAATGCGTATCATCGGATATCATTTTTTATATTATTTTATTAGCAACTAGTCATAAATCGCACACGCGGATTTCAAGATACAAATATTCAGGAAGAACCATGTTTTCGGCACGGAGATCGCGCGCGTACTGAAAATCCCAGCAACCACCCCCATCGACCCTCGCTGTCCGCCCCCGTTCCAATACAGGCAACGATGTATACGTAATACGTGTAAAACGCATGGGCTGCATATTCATGTGGAACAAGAGCAAGAATGCAATTATAATAATTCCGTAAAATGTAGTATTTCTTGTACGAATATTTTGTTTATTAATTTGTTGATTGTTTCTTTTTTCGATTCAATGAGCAGCAAATATTGCCTTCATTAATATTTAATAAATATTAAACATGTGAACACAATAATAAACTGTACAAAAATTATCGGTCTATTATTAATATCGGTAAATTATTTGTCTAATTTAAGTATAAAATATAATATATTATGCTATATATATATATATATATATATATATATATATATAATATTTTTTTAAGTATAAATTATAATATATGTTCTCTCTCTCTCTCTCTCTCTATATATATATATATATATATATATATATATATATAGAGAGAGAGAGAGAGAGAGAGAGAGAGAGAGGGAGGGAGAGAGAGAGAAAGCATAATATATTATAATTTATACTTAAAAAAATATCATATAATATATAAATTATTTTTAATTATCCGTTAAAACGAATTAAATTAGACACAAACTTCGAGGAGTGGTTATTGTATTTGTAGGCGATTTAAGTTAGTTAAGAATTTTAATTATTAAAATTGGTACCGATAATTTTTATACAGTTTAGTATTGTGTTCACATATTTAATATTTATTAAATATTAATGAAGGCAATATTTGCTGCTCATTGAATCGAAAAAAGAAACAATCAACAAATTAATATTATATATAATAATTATATAATTAATTATATATAATACAATATATATATATATATATATATATATATATTGCTTAAATATGCATAAAATTGCATATATGTATGCAATATATAAACTATTTTTAGATTAATTATTCAATTAATAATAAATTTAAAACTTTGAAAGATTATATTAAAATTAAATGTATTAATGCGCATATGATTGTTATTCGTGATTATGACAATTGTACTGAGAGGCTCAAGAATTTGTAAAAATTATTGTAAATTATTCTATACATATCTCATTCAGAAAATATAATGTCACCTACTTCAATTAGGCGTTGATTGAGTTGCATCAGTGATTCGAATATTAAATGCATCAGTTTACGCACTAGTTAATGAACTACTCACCGTTAAATTGTTGAAAGTTAAATTAAACGAAAACATGCACTCTACATGTTTCACGAATATGCATAAATAAAAATCTAAAAAATTTAGATGTACTTATATATTGTATTATATATATATATATATATATATATATATATATATATATATATATATATACAGGGTCTACCAAAAGTGTGGAAACCCCTAAATATCTCGGAAAATATACGTTTTACAGAAAAGTGTTTCCAACAAAAGTTGTAGAGTTTAAGAAGATCTATATACTGATTCTATCAGTTTGACCTTGGATGGCGTCGTCAAGGTCAGGTCAAGGTCACATTGACTTTTTTAAATGACACCCCCTACATTTGATTGCATATTCTTATAGCTTAATTCAAGAGCTTTCCAAAACACTATAATAATGTTCATTTTTATTAAGTACTTTGCGAGTTATGAGGGTTGAAATAATTTCTTAATTTTACATAAACCATAAAATATCTAGTAAACCATTCATTTTTCGATTATCTTACCTTCATACTTTTATGTACAAATTAATGAGAGGAATCAATTGGTGTAAAGAAAACATAGTTGTTTTAAGAAAAAATATGTAATTTGCAATTAACAATTCCATATTTTTTCTTAAAAACAACTGTATGTTTTCTTTACACCAATTGATTCCTTCATTATTTTGTACATAAAAGTATGAAGGTAAGATAATCGAAAAATGAATGGTTTACTAGATATTTTATGGTTTATGTAAAATTAAGAAATTATTTCAACCCTCATAACTCGCAAAGTACTTAATAAAAATGAACATTATTATAGTGTTTTGGAAAGCTCTTGAATTAAGCTATAAGAATATGCAATCAAATGTAGGGGGTGTCATTTAAAAAAGTCAATGTGACCTTGACCTGACCTTGACGACGCCATCCAAGGTCAAACTGATAGAATCAGTATATAGATCTTCTTAAACCCTACAACTTTTGTTGGAAACACTTTTCTGTAAAACGTATATTTTCCGAGATATTTAGGGGTTTCCACACTTTTGGTAGACCCTGTATATAATATAGAGAGAGAGAGAGAGAGAGAGAGAGAGAGACTTTTAAAAATTTAACAATCACTACAGAAAACATCATAAATAGTATTTCTCTCTCACTTTTTCAGTTCACTTTTGCGAAACATTATTATATTCTTGAAAAATAAAATTTTATTCTCTCCTGAAAAATAAGATTTTATCTTCTTGCCTTTAATTTATTCTATCTATTTCTAATTTCGTGTTTCAATCATTCGCAGTTGTATTTTTCAAACTAATTTCTGATTGTACAATCATAATACGTTATTATAAGAATATATAATTATCGACAAATAGACATTTCTCAATTTCAATAAGACGGTAAATATATTTTAAACGATGATTGGTTCTCTCAATGGTGATAGTTCTCAATCGAACTATCGCACAAGTAGTTGCATAGTCGGAAATCAATACTAGTATCCTGCTTAAAACTTCGTAAAATCCGATTACTACTCTGACTACTATATTGACAGTTACATACTTTCGTACATACTCGTGTAAATAAATTGAATTAGAACCCATTTCTCTTTCTTTCTCTTTTTCTTTTAGTAAAAATCTTATAATTGCATCTTAAAATTATATTTCAGATCATTCAAACTGTACAATTAGTTTTAATGTCTTAATTTTCCTTCGTTATTTTTTATCTTATGATCATCATCTGTATTTTTTTGTATCACAAAGAATCTAATATCGAAACAGCTGTGTTTTTTGCCCATAATTTCTTCGTAATTCTTCAGATTATGGCGATTATCAATGTATAAAAATTATATTATTTATATATATATATATATATATATATATATATATATATATATTGTTAGTAATATTGAAATTTATAATATCATCGCCATCTAATTTATGCAAATATAAACATTTTGTCGAAATTTCCAGATCCATGCTTGACCTATTTAATGCTAAATTAGGATGCTATCGTGCTTTGATATAATTTTAATAAGGTAAAGCATTTCTAGAAGTTATTGACTGATAAAGGGATAGATGCACGAAGAATATTAAGAGTTTAATAATGTGTTTAGCTAATTGATCTTTTTACTTGCTATAAAGATAAATTTCTTTCTAAGAGCTATTGTTTGTATAATACACAAATACAGTTTGTACAAATAAATGTATTAAAAGCAGATTGATCATCTTCATTACAAAGATTCAAACAGCAACCTAATATAAATCAATAAAAATTTTATCAAAATTATTAAGACTATAAACCGTGGAAATCCAACAAATAATATTTCTTATAACGAAATATGAAATTATCAAACATCAATGTAAAATTCGCCTGTAGTTCGTCCGTACAGCATGATCGATAAATTTCTCGACAATTAAAAATATCAATTGATATTTATGTCAAATATTATTAATAACTTTATTTCTTCTACATTTACATTTGCATAAACTGTGAGATGACAATGGAATTAAGCTTTTTATTATTCCAACAATAAAAAATGTGGGGAATGCTAAAAAGTAATCAATAAAGGATTACGCGAGAGAATGACAACGGTTCTCCCAATATCGAATTCTTTTTCACGTCGCAAAGTACTATTATTATTATTACTATTATTAAGATGTACGCGATGACGATCATTTTTCGATATTCAAAACATTTGTACAGCAATGTAAATAATAAAAGAAATATTTGTAAATATATTTATTAGATATATTTTGATCTATCGAGGCAACCATTATTTTTCAATCTATCTCTGAGCTAATAGTAGATGATAATCGCGAAGATTTTTATATAATTATAACCCTAATCTTTACCGTCGAAATATAACGAAATCAAATGGATAGAATTTTTATAAAGGATGCAAAAGATTAATAAAAACGATATTAATGAACGATTTCTATTGTTGAAAGCAAAGATTGAAAGAATTCGCAATTGATATAGATTGATAAAACGGCCAGTTATTCGAACCGAAGACTTGCTCGATTTTCGTATTTCGAAATTCTGATCAAATATGTCACAAAATTATTATACTTAATAATCTCACAATTTAAAAGACGCTGATTATCATATCTATATATTAGCTCAATTATTTTTCTTTTTCAACTTATTTATTCCGACAATACCATAACTTCAATGCTTTGCTTCATGTGATGTCCCGCGATAAAAGAAATAGGAAGTCATAACGCGCAATGCGCAAGCGGATATGATATAACCAAGATAAAATTTCCTTGTTCTAATTGGTCAAACGACAGAAAGAACAAACATAAAATAAAGATAATTAAAAATAGTTATTTCTTAATAATTTTTAGAGAAAAGAGAAAAAAATAAAATGTTTCTCAGAATATTAAAAATCTTGCATCTAAATTATTAAAAATAATGTATTTGATGCACATATAAATAATATTTGAGATATTACACGTGTAAATGTATATAGATATTTATATACGCACCTTTGAAATAATCTAACACGTCATAAATATGTAAAAATAAAATATATCATTTTATAGTTATATTATCAAATATGAACCAGATTCATGCACATTGCGTATATAAAAATAAAAAATTATTACATAATTTATAAAGTTTAACATGTACAAATTTTTATCAAATATGATAACCATATTAGATACTGCAGAATTTTTATATATTTCAGATTTTTTCTTATATGCGAATTAAACACGTATATAAATAATATATAATAATATAAATATATATTGAAAAATTATATTTTTTTTATTATAATTACAATTATAAACAATTAAAATATTTACTCCTTAATAGAATTATATCTTTAATTATAATTTTAAAAAATACAATAATGATATAATATATTTAAAAATTAATCTAAGAATAATGTAATGTGATCCACATGCCACTATCATGTATTATAACATTGATTTTTTTATCATACATCTTATTTTAAAAACCTGAATTTGACAAATATAATATAAAACTGAATTATATTGTAAAACTTCATATATGATAAAACTTTCCATTACATTTAGTAATTACAGTTTTTAAAAATAGTATTTTATATAGTATCACGTGTCTAAATGTATACTTTCATTATCAGTTTCGTCCATAACATTTTCAAAAGCACAACTACATTTTTTTATTTGATTGCATACCTCCTTGCTTTCCTTACTTACTTTTACCTTTTCCTGTATCCTTCGATTAATTGGGATATACAATTCACTTATATCTCCAAATTCATCATCAGAATTATCTAATTTCTGTTTTTCATTTTCGGCATAAATATATTCTTCCTTCTGTATCATGCATTCATCAATTTTATTTTCTAGAAAATTTTCCGCATTTCCTTGATTAGTAGATTCAATGGACTGCCAATTTTTTACGCTAAATTGAAAAATTTGTTTGCCACATATGTTATCTATTATGTTTGTCACATTTAAATCATTGTCTTCATTCTCACTCATAAAATCATTAGGAGAAAGTTCATTAAATATCCTATCAATCGTATTATTCAATTTTGAATCTATCTTATCCATTTCCAAAATTTTTTTAAACTGTGGCCCACGTTTTACTTGTTTTATGTCCATTGCAACATTTTCAGATACATTCTTTAATTTATTTATGTTACTCAAAGCATTTTTCTGCTTTGATCTTTTTGGTGTTATTGCCATGTCCTCAAAGGATTCTTCTAACGACATAGAATGATTTCTAGATATAAAATCTTCAATCTTTCTATTATTTTTGCTTCCTAATGTTTTCTTTTTTGCTTTCTTTTGTCTTGATTTTGCGATATTTGTTATTTCAATGTTATTTTCTTCTATATTTGTAGTAACCTTTTTTCTGCGAGAATTAGTAGTTCGTTTCTTCGTTTTTACGTTTCTAGTATTTTCAAATATTTCAACTAATTCTGGATAACATTTTAAAACCAAGTCTTGTGGCTCAATAGTTGTTAGTAAAATGCCTTCTATATCATTATCATTTAGCTCTATTTGTTCTTTGTACTCTTTCAACATTTCTATTACACTATGTTCTTTCTTCCAAATAATTTCATAACTGGCTATAGATCTGATATTACGTATCTTTTTTATTTGATCAGGAATAAATAAATTTGACATAGACAAACGTTCAGCAGGTGTAAAATCTGACAGATGTAAAAGTTGCCATCTAGTAGTTAATGTGAATATTTTTTCAAATGCATATTGTGGTTCCCAACATAAATGTTTCTCCATAAAATCCTAATACAAAAAAGATTATATATATTTAATAGTATATTTAATAAAAAGACTATTTTATAATGTATATGTAACAATATATTTACAATAAATTGATAGACTTGGGGTTGCTTCCAACCTATATCCAATTTAGATGAAATCAGATCTTTTTTGTTAAGAAATTCTTCTATTAACTCTTGATTAGGGAAATTTTTATCATGGAGTATTTTTCTTCTCAATGATATTTCATTTAACATTAGTGCTCTCTTTTCTCTGCATATATTATAAAGCATAATATATTAAATTATTAAATACAATATACATTTCAAAAACACATAATGCACTAATAATTTACCTGAAATTATCATTACATTTTTCAACAGTACCACAATCATCACAACCTGATTTGTTATGTTTTTGTAGTTTACCTTGATGACCACATGATGTACATAAATTAGGATTTAATAAATCTGATTCAATTCTATCTAAACTTGTGTCAGTTTTCCAATTTTGAATCCTGAAAAGAGAGGAAAAAATGGTTTAGTTATAATAAATAAATTTTATAAGTTTGATTAGTACATAATCTTTTAATATATCTAATATTCTAACCTTTGTAAAACATTTTCATCATCTACAGTCTTGAAAAATTTTAACGCAGCCTCCTTTCCAACACCATTCACTCCTTCGCTATAATCACAACCACACAATAAAGCCAATACTATCATTTTATTTCGTCCTATGTTTAATGTCTTTTCTATCTTTTCCATATTGTAGACATCTATAGAACCTGCAGTAGCTCCATTGTTTCCTTTACTTGTACAAAAATTTCTATATACTATTTTTGCACCATATAAGAAGCAATCACTGTCTTGACTTACACATCCATCTACAAGCTAAAAACATATATTTTTTACAACTAAGATTATCAGTAATTTGTCAATTTTTATCAAAGAAAATCAAGTTATATGTACCCCATTCTCATTCAAATATGCACACATAGCTTCTGCTTCACCATAGCTCTGTACACAAGCAATACCCATAAATTTTAGCATTTCTTTACATTCATTTAAAACTCGATTAAACTGTGTTCTCCCTCCTTTTTTAGCAGCCTCCTTCCTTTCCTGAAATCCACTACGAACATCATTCCTTCGTGCAATAGTTTTATGTTTTAGAGTAGGAGCCTTTCCTTCCAATACAAATACTGGAGATATTCCTTGCATAAGAAGAAATGCTGTACGAAAGTATAGATTCCTGCAATGCAATTTAAATCAATAATTAACATCTTATTAACTGTAACATAATTCGGCGAAGAAAGTATGCTATATATTAATTAATATCGTGCGTTCCATTTCGAGGTAGAAAATGTAATACGAATAAATTTACCTGAGATACATCTTTGGTTGTACTGCATTGTCAACGATCGTCTGACTATCAACGACCCATCCACTTAAATCAATCGCAATAGTCTTTCCTTGTAATTCATATAACGGTTTTCTTTCGCATAAAGGCGATAAAATATTCCATAAATCCTTCACACCCATCTTGTATAAAGTATTTTGAATCTGTGAACGTATGTTTTCAAAAGGATTTACAACATCGCCATCTAACATCTTATCAATATAGCTAATACAATAGTCAAATTACATTCTTACCTGCAATAGATAAAAGTGATTACATTTATCGATCATCTGAGGCAGTGAAGAGTGAATGAGAGAATAAATAGACAATTATGAGTTCATTTTAAGTAATTAACATGTATATTATGTATATAAAAAGAATTAAATATGTAAAAAGTAAAAAACATGCGATTCTGAAAATTATCAAAACTGTTTTGTGACTTAGTATAAAATGACTTAGGCCCGATTGCACCAACGTTATTCTAGCTTTAAGCGAGACTTAAATATATATCTATCTTTATCTTTCTTTCTAAATAAATAAAGATAGACATATATTTAAGTTTCGCTTAAAGCTGAAATAACGTTGGTGCAACCGGCCCTTAGTATAATTGAAGTTAAAATTAAAAATATGTGTGTGTGTGTGTGTGTGTGTGTGTGTGTGTGTGTGTGTGTGTGTGTGTGTGTATATATATATACAGGGGTGAGTTTTATTTCGCGTCTCAACCTTTTTATTATGTGGGAGATTATCGACTGCATAATAAATTGATCGGTACATAAATGTCAATTATTTGGATCGACTGTATCAAAAGCTCGAATATAATGTGTTAAAATTAAAGCAAATTAAAAGCTAAACTTATATAGTAGGGATTTATTATTATTATTATTATTATTATTATTATTATTATTATTATTATTATTATTATTATTATTATAGCTACGTATTTACTATTATTATTATTATTATTGTACACATTATATTCGATACGGTTGATTAAAAAAATTGACATTTATGCACCGATCAATTAATTATACAGTCGATCATTTTATCGGTAAAAAGATCTATACACACAGGAATTAACGTAGATGACAATACAAATGGTTGCATGAGTTCTAATATTGCGATATCCTTGATATAATTTCCTGAAAGGCCTAGATAATTACATACAATGTAAATATGTTTCACCTACAAGAAAAAATACATGTAAACAATTCAAATATGTAAACTGATAATATTACATATAAATTAGTTATGTGATATATAAACTTGCAAACCTGATTTTTTTGAACATATTGTGATAAATAGATTTATAATCAAGGAAAATGTTTCCCGTTGCTACGTAAATCTTCTTGGGATTAATCACTTGTCCATTATATTCTTCATATATGCAATGAGCTGCTGTTATCAAGAGATTCTCTTGAATGATTGATGCTCAAAAGAATTCCTTTGACTTGCCTTGTACATCGAGGTACAATGTGGCATGCCATGGAAATTCCGTGACATTATAGGCTGGAACACCGTTTACAATGAGCGATGTAACATTGGAGGTATACCGCAAACTATAATAAATATTTTAATTGAAACAGTTGTTTTAGCATAAAACAAAAAAGTAAATTAAATATTTACAATATAAAAGAAGATAATTCACAATAACTATAATTCTATTGCATTATGATTACATATTATTCTACAATTAAGGATAAAGAAAAGAAAAGATGGAATTAACGTTATATTTGTAAAAAAATTAATTTATTGAATAAAGGCCGTAGCCGGATAAGCATGCCCAATCGGACTCCGCAGGTATAGGGCTGAAATTTTTTTTTTCTTTTTTTGTAAGTTTCTATCGGTAGATCTTACAATTCCCTAAAATATTAGCCTCGAAACTCCACGTGCTTAAGAGTAAAAAATAATTTTTCTTTTTTTGAAATTAATTTTTTATTATATGCCAGCTATAGAAATAAAATTATTTATAATCTATTACTATTTTACATAATTTTAAGACCATGTCCACGGCTTTTTTGTTGCTAAATCATTGTTGATGTTGGCACCCTCCATATTTGAATAATTTGCATATTTAGTGTTTGTATTTATAATGATTCTATCATTCAAAATTTCAATAAATGTTGCATTGTTCCTATCTAAAGTGGTATGAAACGCAAGATTAGTATCATTAAGGTAAACATTTATTGTAAGCGGAGCTGGAATACATCGTATAGGCTCTGGTACCCATTGACCATTCTCATTACATCTCGCAAAATTTCTTTGACTTGAAAGTATATTGCTTTCATATTGATAACTGTCTCGGCAGGACAATTTGGCACTTGTTCCAGGTAAAACTGGAGAATTACAAGACACCCACTCACTGTTGTATGTACAATTGGCATTAATTGATGTTGTACTTAACTTTTGACAGCGTATTTCTATTAAAAAATATTTTAAACATAAAATTAATACAAAATTGCACATGAAAAATGTCTGTTATATTAAAATATTTCAACATTGTGATCATCATATTTCTAAACATTTTTTTATTCTACATACTTTCTTATATTTTAGAAATATATGTGTAATTATTATTATCATACCTATACAACTTGGTATATTAAGCCATTTTCCTTCAATATTGCAGCTTACATCCATAGAACCTTTTATCTTATATCCTGGATTGCAGGAGTAAATAAGATAAGAGCCTGGTCTTAAGTTCATTCCTTCTGAAAGATCACAGTCCTGTTCAGTGTTTGAACATTGTGATCGATGCAACTTCCAATGACCGTTTTGCGGTTGCGGTGGGGCTTTGCAAGTTTTTGTGCCAGATATTGGAACAAAAGGACTTGATGAAGGTTGTACTGGTAATCGTTCTGCTGTTGGTCGCACCGTTGATCGTAAAAACCACGATCCTCTGCCACATGATTTTGGAGTTTCATCTGATCCATCGACGCAATCAACTTCTCCGTTACATCGTAGATCACCGTCGATACAAGCTCCATAATCGCATTGGAAAACTGTCGGTGGACAACTGCAAAGAAATTGTCGATTGTAAAATATCTGTTTGCTTATTATTTGACCTAGAATTAGCAAAAAAAAAAAAAGAAAAATTCTCTTACATCAATGACCCGCATAGTGCTGATGTTTCGTCGGAACCATCCACGCAGTTTTTATTTCCATCGCACAGATTAGTCTTACTGATGCATTGTCCATCAGTGCATGTAAATTTATTATATTGGCATAGAGGTCTTGCTGATGTTTGATTATTTCTCGTGCACCCAGGTTGCGTTTCATCGCTATTGTCGACGCAGTCTTGGATGCCATTGCAAACGTTGTCCCTATTTATACACGCACCGTATTTACAACGAAAAGCATATGCAGGACATAAAATCTCCGGTTTCGTACATTCGACCTGTGTCTCGTCGGACGAATCCCTACAGTTCACTTTACCATCGCATAAGAATTCGCCAGCTATACACTCTCCATTGCGACATTGAAAATTCTTGTACCTATTTGAACAGTGGAATAAAAATATTTATTTATTTGTATATAGGTATTATGTATATCAAAGTTATGTATATCAAAGTGATTTTTTTATTATGTAATCATGAACTCACCCGCAATTATTAGTTTGTGCATACCCGGAACCAATATACACTATGGAAAATCCAAGAAACAATTTTATTAGATAATGAGAATTTTTCTTTATTATACACATTATATACATGCGTTTACTACATGCGTTTTTTAATTATACGTATGTGTATATATAAATGAAAATTGCATTTTATAAATATCATTAGAATTTTTGTAGTAATATGTATGCAAAATCCTGTTTAATGATTATAAATTTTTTTATGACCAAATCAATTAATTACAATAATGTCGACTTCTATCTTTAAAAGGAAAATTTTAATAAACCTGACAGAGATATGCGCATGATAGAGATAACACACATCACGTATTCGCGAGTATTTTTTTCGTTTATTATTTATCTTTATATATATAAACATATAAATTCCTCTACTGGAGGGTCAAGGGTCATCAAACTGGTTTATAAAACTGGCTGAGATTACGACAACGTTTTGCAAATCGTTTGACTTAAATTGTTGCAGATACTTAATTATTATAAAACAAAATTTAGCGCATAAAATTCGTCCCAATAAATGCAAAATAAATAAAAATAAATCGAAGTAAATTGTTTTTTATTAATTGTCTCTCCACAAAAAATTATTCAATCAATCAATTATATACATGCAATAATATAATTCATTGATTTCAATTAAAATTAAAAAATATACAAATGTATACAAATATGTAATAATTTTAAACAATTTTGAAATATATTTAATATTTTTTCAAAACTTCTATGTTATATGTGATGTTATTTTTTATTAATATGATTTCATTACTATGTCTAGAAGTTTCTTAATGAATATAAGATAATATCAATCGGCATCAGTGAAAAAGAACCATATTTTTATGCATTCTCAGATTGTTTTTCAATGTTATTTTAAAGTAATATGCTTCAAAAGATTTCTCATAAGCCTAATTTTAATGTAACTTAAGTTTCTTTTATATATTATGTTGTTATTATATACTAATATAAATAAAAAACTTCGAGAAAAAAATTAAATTAATAATAATTTACTTAACTTACTTTCATAAATATGTAATAAGATTCTTACTTACCATAAACAAACGTTAGTAGCGCAGAAATGTGCTTAATAATCCGCATGATAAAGCACTGGCGAAAAACCGAGAACTGTTCGATCCGCGTCTTATAAGACGCTCGATCACTAACTGCGATCTTCTACTAGTTAGTAGTTACCACAAGGTTGAGATAACTGGGGATAACCCAAGCAAAACGTACGGCGTTATCTCTGTGTGTGCATAAATGTGCGAAGATGTACAATGAAAGTATGTAAGTGTTAACATATGCTAAATAAATCAACAAGAATCAACACATCGATGATGTATGTGAACACATTCACAATTTAGTTCAAAGAACTCCTACAAAAAAGATGATATATATGTATATCAGAATACACGACTGAAGAATCATTGCTCTCTGTATGTATGTGTGTGTTTCAGGTTTGCATAGAATCATTCAAAAATTTGCACAGGGAATTATAATTATACTTATATTAATTAAAAATTATACTTATGCGAAATTATAATTATAGTCTTGAATAAAAAATAATTAAAAATTTTCGTGTGATAAATAAAAATATTTGTTTCTCCTTGAATATTTTATTGTATTTTTTTTTTGGTACAGAGTCAAAACTATATATTTTATATATTATTTTCCTTCTTGTTCTTTATTATTTTCCATAGGAAGTTCTCTATTATTAAATGAATGGGAGGGAAGACTTGCTAATCATTTTAATGTTCTAACATAACATTGATTAAGGTAAATGAAAGAAAATTTTGCACGTGCAAAAATAAAATAAAAATTACTATACAAAAAATATTATTCACAAAAGGATATATTTGTTTTGTAATCTCGATATCCACCATATATTTCAAAATATATTCCTTCTAAAATTTTTCTGTTTCATCTTCACATTTTTTCCAGTTCAATATGTTTCATGAAGACCATCTGCACCATATCTCTTACTATAATAATCATAGTGTACCTGTCAATAATCATATATAAAATCATATATATATATATATATTGACAGGTACACTATGATGAATATATATATATATATGTATTAGCAATTGTATCCAATCAATATGACTAGATATTTGTTTATATAAGATATATAAATTATTGTCACAATGAGCAGTTTCATCTTCTACTATCGCGCCAAGAGAAACGCTAACAATACCTTTGAAATATACAGACTATTAGTTTCAAAAACTAATCCTCTACCACTGTCACTATCACAAATGGAAGAATCTGAAATATACTATTTATAATGCTTATAACTAAATTATTGTACGGTTCCACATAGATTTGCAATTTTTCACACGAAGCAAGGTTCAATCCACACCGCCTTGTGCTTTCAGTGCGAAATTTATAATACATTTTCCCTTGCGTAAGATCCTCGTTAATCTTTTCTCGATATCTATCATTTTTAGTATTATAAAGTTCAAATTTCATGCGCTCTACTGGTGACAAATAAATACATGTAGTCGGTATGACAAGTTTCCTGATCCTAAACTGTTAATTTTAGTGTTTCGTAAGATTTTTCCTATAAACCGTTTTGAATACCAAACACTATTTATCAATAATCAAACGATTGATAAAAAAAAATGCTTAATAGTCAAAGTGATGGGGCTAAAAGAAGATTAAAAATTTGTTTATGATATTCTGAAAAAACGAAAGATTACCAAAAATTTTGAATATTATATCAGCTGCGTTCCAAAATTCACTGCCAATACTGAAAATCTATAGCTTACATGACGTACACTTTGGTTTTTGAGTATTGGCAGTGAATTTTAGAAAGCCCACATATTACCAATCAATCACCAAACGATTGGTAAAAAAAATTTCCAATAGTGAAAGTGGGGGCTAACTTTGAGTCCGTTTTCCCCACTCCAAGTGCTAGTGGCCGAGCGCCGCGAAAAGCAGTACTGTCTATGCCGGTCTAGTGCTGGTAGCAAAGAGGGCACCGTCGCGTAGAAAAAGAAAATATAATAATTTATTATATTATTTTATATTTCATATAATATATATATATATATATATATATATATATATATACAGGATATCTCAAAACTCATAATCAATCTTTCAAAGACAGATTCCTGGGATCATCTGAAGACGATTTTTCCTCAACGAAAATGTCGAGGCACTAATAATTTTCGAATTATAAGTGATTGGAAATAAGGGGTTTTTCGTAAACTAAGCTTTGCAGAAATAAAATATTAACAAAACTATATTCTTCGATTAATTTTAAATAGAGTTTACTTTAGTTGAGTTTTAATTTAAGACTTAATTGCAAAGATATATGATGACTATGAGATATATGAAAAATCGGGAACATGCAAAAAATGATGGCCTTCATCGACATTTTCGCTGAGGAAAAATCTTCTCCAAATGATCCCAGGAATCTGTCTTTGAAAGATTGATTATGAGTTTTGGGACACCCTGTATATATATTATTTTATTATATTATTTTATGTATAATATTAAATAAACATATTTTCTATGTTAATATATACATATTTTTTTTCTACGCGACGGTGCCCTCTTTGCTACCGTCACTAAACCGGTATAGATGATACTGCTTTTCGCGAATGTGCTAAGGCCGGTATTCATAGTCCGGTCTCACATTTCAGAACTCATTCAACCAATCAAATAGCTACAATGCAGCCATTGATTGGTGGAATGAGAGCTTAAGATGATCTTAAGCCGGATTTACATTGATCGTATAGTAACGTCGCAAGTCGTAAGTCGTTGGCAAATTGACCAACCATAGTCGAGTATTTCAAAAATAATCAACCATGATTGGTTAATTTGCTAATGACTTACGACTTGCGACGTTTTGATACGACCAATGTAGATTCGGCTTAAAGCCGGACTCTGGTTATGAGTTCATCGATTTCTCACGACAAAGCATCGTTTAAAGTAATTTGTAACTTGCAAGTGTTTTATCAAAATGTTGAGTTTGAAATGACATTCAGTGTTTATTAGTTAGTCATTTATTTTACATTTCAAAAAGTTGTATTTTTTTATTTGTATAGCATAAATCTCGCCATTTAGATTGAACGGAAATGGGGAGGGAGCAGAGAAAAGATTTGCATATGTAAAAATAGAAGGCCTTCATTATAGCCAAGTAATCTTTATAACCTAACTTGAGAAGCAGAGACTACACGAGATTTTATATAATTAACTTTAGAAAATTAGCATTAACAATAAGATGGTTGATAAAAACATCAGTGACAATTTTCTGCTACCAGCAGAAAAATTACCAGAATGTTGGAATCAAGAAGAAAGAATGAGTGCATTGTTCTCACCATTTCGCAGTAAATCTGCCAATCCACAAGATTGGATTTCTAAGTACAAATTCTGGAATAATTTAATATATGAATGGCTGGAATATACCATGCAATGCAGTTTTTCTATCATCGATTTAAATGAAGCTTTTAAAAGAAGAGGTTGTACACCCCTTTGTCTAGTTACTGTTATTGAAGAACTTCTCAGGTATTATTCTCTATTATATAGCACATTGATTAAATATTTTTATTTTAGTAAAAACTAATCAGTCATGAATTAATTAGTGAATTGTTAATCATTATTATATTCAATGATTGTCTACCATAATAAAAATAATTATTTGTATATCTGTTATCAATTCAAAAAATATATATTATTTAATTTGATATGGTCTTTAATATTATATCTTAATATGTGTATTTTATAAAATTTTCCAGAAATAATGAAATAATTAAAGAGACTGATTTTTTTCAAGAACCATGTGAAACATGGACAGCATGGTCAATTGATATATTTATAAAAAAACCAATTAGCTGGTCTTTCTCAAAAGTGAAAAATTATATAGTAGGTCAGAATGTAAATAATTTAGAAGTGAGATACATACATTTGCGAATTGTTCAGGAATTGGGTGACATTATTCTTTCTATTGTTGATATTAAAAAAGACAATGTTTTATTCCTGATTTCTGAAATAGTGGAATATTGCAAGAGCAAAACTAAGAAGAAGATTTCGGACAATACAGTGAGATTAGTTTTGGAGTGGCTGAGGCGTAGAAAAAAAGTTACTTTCAGGAAAAGTTTCAATTCAAATAATGAATTATTAGTTAAAATTTCTACACAAACAGTAAATGAAATTACAGAAGTAGAAGAAGGCATGTATAAATTGATCAAGCAGGAAAATGAATTGATTAAGGAGATAGAACTTATGGAACAAGAGAAACTTAATATTATCAATGAAGCAAAATCATATTTGACAAAAGAATTGCGTCAGATGGCAAAGACACGCTTAAGAAGAAAGATCGAATTGGAAAAGACCATAGAAAAACGTGCGCAAGCTCTTGCAAACCTACGTATTTTAATTACCAATATTGAAGATGCACATTCTAATTCTGCTGTATTATCTGCTTACAAGACTGGTTCTGATGTATTAAAGAAAATAGGGCAAAATGATTTAACGGAATACAATGTTAGAGATGTTATGGATGATATTAATGAGGTAATTATTTTGTATTTGTAAATGATTGTGTAACAAGAGAGATATATTAATATTTATTATCGGTTAATCAGATTTTAGAAGAGAAACAAGAGATAGACACAGTTTTATCTGAAACATTGAATCTCACAGACTCGGATGCCGAGTTGGAAAAGGAATTAGCAGAATTATTGAATAAAGACAATGTAGATAATTCTAATGCAATTTTTGAATCAAATCCAGAATTTAAAAAATTAGAGCAACGTTTGAAAGACTTGCACATGGAAGGTAAATATTGTGTAATTTATTATATTTCATATAAACTAATGGGATATTTATAATATAGGTATAGTTCAATCTGACAAAAATACATCTGTACTACCAATTGTGCCATCCCCCAAGGAAAAGATATTAAAAGCATCTCAATGTTCATAATCGTTACAACGAGAAACATGTAATTATATAATAACTCTATGAAACCAATTTATTAAAGAGATTCTATTTTTCTATTCTTTTAAACATTTTACTGCATTTATTGTCACATAATGAAAAATAGAATACATGTATATTATGTATATAAATAAAATTAAATATATGGAAAATAAAAACGCGACTTCGAAAATTATCAAAACTGTTTTGTGACTTAGTATAATTGAAATTAAAAATAAAAAATATACATATATATGTATATAAAGCAACTAGAGTTCATTTATATTATATATTCCAGTCTATTTTTTGTACACAATATCTATATTTCTATTGTAAAATAATAAAAGGATTAAAATCAATAAATTAATATAACGCTGGAATAATAAACACTTCTTAAATTTGTGAAAATAATTTTAATATTTATTATATATATAAAAAAATTATTTTTTTTAATTATTCAATAAAATGCAACTTCTCTCTTTACATAATTACATTAAGTATCACTTAAAGCAGACATACTTACATAATTACATTAAGTATCACTTAAAGCAGACATACTTATCAATGATATAGTATTATATGGCATAAAATTAAGATTCTTTAAATTCTCTATAATAATCTCAATAGTTCCATTAATAAATTTGAAAAAGTATACAATATTCAAGTCTTCGTTGTGCATAAAGTATATGGCTGATTATCTTTTATATTAGCAATTACATTTTGTATCCACTCAATATAATAAGATACTTGTGTATATAAGGTATATAAATTATTGTTACAATGACCAGTTCCACCTTCTGATATCGTGCCAAGGGAAACGCTAACAATACCTCTGAGATACCACAGATTATTAGTTTTAAAAACTAATCCTCCACCACTATCACCATCACAAACGGCAGAACCTGAAATATAACGCTTATAATGCTTATAACTAAAAAATTATTCTACTTCTTACAATTTTATAGAATAATAATTATTACAAATGATTGAAAAATAATTATACTTTCCTCCCTTTTCCTTATTTTATATAATTTGAAAATTATATATATATATATATATATATATATATATATATATATATGTATATGTATACATATTTCACTTATATATTATTGATCAATTTTATGGAAAATATAGGATAATATTAAGAACTAACATTAGTTGTTCTTTGACTAACCATTGGTATAGCCTCCGCAAAACTTATCAAGAGTAAGAAATGGTTGTGTATTGGCATCTTGACTTGCAGACTTGCATTGACTGAATGGAACATACGGTACTGTCAAAGCCTGTAAGAATGCACTGGATTCACCAGTTGCAGTTCTACCAAATCCCCAAACTTTTCCAGTCGCACCTGCTTCCAACACAGCTTTATCGCTGGAAAGATCTATACACACAGGAGCTAACGTAGATGACAATACAAATGGTTGCATGAGTTCTAATATTGCGATATCCCTGATATAATTTCCTGCAAGGCCTAGATAATTACATACAATGTAAATATGTTTCACCTACAAAAAAAAATACATGTAAACAATTCAAATATGTAAACTGATAATATTACATATAAATTAGTTAGGTGATATATAAATTTGCAAACCTGATTTTTTTTAACATATTGTGGATTGTGATAACTAGATTCATAATCACGGAAAGTGTTTCCCGTTGCTACGTAAATCTTCTTGGGATTAATCACTTGTCTACTATTTTCCTCATATATGCAATGAGCTGCTGTTATCAAGAGATTCTCTTGAATGATTGATGCTCCACAAAAGAATTCCTTTGACTTGCCTTGTACATCGAGGTACAATGTGGCATGCCATGGAAATTCCGTAATATTATAGGCTGGAAGACCGTTTACAATGAGCGGTGTAACATTGGGGGGCGGTATACCGCAAACTATAACAAATATTTTAATTGAAACAGATGTTTTAGCATAAAACAAAAAAGTAAATTGAGTATTTACGTTATAAAAGCAGATAATTCACAGTAACTGTAATTCTATTGCATATCAATGTGATTGACATATAGTTCTACAATTAAGGATAAGGAAAAGAAAAGATGGAATTAATGTAAAATTTGTAAAAAAAAATAATTTATTGAATAAATTTATTGCATATATCTTGCTTAGCTTATAGCATAATTTTAATATATAAATATATGTATATATGCATGTATATATATATATAAATTTGTGCATTATATACTAGAAAAATAGAGTATAGTTTAATAATACTTCATTAAAGCTTTGGTTCATTAGGAAACATTTTCAAAGTATAACTTAAATAGGAATTATAAAATAGAAAGACATTTGTGTGTGAATTATCTCAATGAGAGCGATGAATATAATATGATTATATGATTATAATATGAATATAATATGATTATATGCTAGCTACAGAAACAAAATTATTTAAAAATTACTATTTATAGTCTATTATTATTTCTCATAATTTTAAGACTATGTCCAAGGCTTTTCTTTTGCTAAATCATTGTTTGATGTTGACATCCTAACATCTATATTTGGATAATTTGGATCTTTAGTATCTGTATGTATAATAACTGTGTCATTCCAAATTTCAATAAATGTTACATTTTTCCTATCTAAAGTGGTATGCAACGCAATATTAGTATTATTAAGATAAATATTTATTGTGAGCGGACCTGGAACACATCGTATAGGCTTTGGTACCCATTGACCATTCTCATTACATTTCACCAAATTGTTTCGTATTGAAAGTGTACTGCTTTCATATTGATAACTGTCTCGGCAGGACAATTTGGCACTTGTTCCAGGTAAAACTGGAGAGTCACAAGACACCCACTCATTGTTGTATGTACATTCGGCATTAATTGATGCTGTACTTAAAGGTTCACAGCGTATTTCTTTGAAAAAATATTTTAAACATGAAATTAATACATAATTGCACATGAAAAATACCTGTTATATTAAATTATAATATTTCAACATTGTGACCATCATATTTCTAAACATTTTTTTTTTCTACATATTTTCTTATATTTTACAAGTATGTGTGTAATTATTATTATCATACCTTTACAACGTGGTATATTAAGCCATTTTCCTTCAATACTGCAGCTTACATCCTTAGAACCTTTTATCTCATATCCCGAATTGCAGGAGTAAATTAAATGAGAGCCTGGTCCTAAGTTCATTCCTTCCGAAATATCACAGTCCTGTTCAGAGTTTGAACATTGCGATCGGTGCAACTTCCAATGACCGTTTTGCGGTTGCGGTGGAGTTTTGCAAGTTTTTGTGCCTGATGGAACAGAAGGTGAAGGCCTTGGTGTCTGTACTGGTTGTGTTGTTGGTCGTACCGGCGGTGCTCCGGCACACGATTTTGGAGTCTCATCTGATCCATCGATGCAATCAATTTCTCCGTTACATCGTAGATCACCGTTGATGCAAGCTCCATAATCGCATTGGAAAACTGTCGGTGGACAACTGCAAAGAAATTGTCGATTGTAAAATATCTGTTTGCTTATTATTTGACCTAGAATTAGCAAAAAAAAAAAAAAGAAAAATTGTCTTACTTCAATGACCCGCATTGTACTGACGTCTCGTCGGAGCCATCCATACAGTTTTTATTTCCATCGCACAGATTACTCTTACTGATGCATTGTCCATCAGTGCATGTAAATTCATTATATCGGCATAGAGGTCTTGCTGATGTTTGATTATTTCTCGTGCACTCAGGTTGCGTTTCATCGCTATTGTCGACGCAGTCCTGGATGCCATTGCAGACGTTGTCTCCATTTATACACGCACCGTATTTACAACGAAAAGCATATGTAGGACATAAAATCTCCGATTTCGTACATTCGGCCTGTGTCTCGTCGGACGAATCCTTACAGTTCACTTTACCATCGCATAACAATTCGCCTGATATACACTCTCCATTGCGACATTGAAAATTCCCGTACCTATTTGAACAGTGGAATAAAAATATTTATTTATTTGTATATAGGTATTATGTATATATCAAAGTGATTTTTTTATTATGTAATCATGAACTCACCCACAATTATTAGTTTGTGCATACCCGGAATCAATATACACTATGGAAAATCCAAGAAACAATTTTATTAGATAATGAGAATTTAATTTTTCTTTATTATACACATTATATACATGCGTTTACTACATGCGTTTTTTAATTATACGTGTGTGTATATATAAATGAAAATTGCATTTTAAAAAATTTATAAATATTATTAGAATTTTTGTATTAATATGCATGCAAAATCCTGTTTGATGATTATAAATTTTTTTATGACAAAATCAATCAATTACAATAATGTCGACTTCTATCTTTAAAAGCAAAATTTTAATAAACGTGACAGAGATATGCGCATGATAGAGATAACACACATCACGTTTTCGCGATTATTTTCTTCGTTTATTATCTACTATATATAAACATATAAATTCCTCTACTGGAGGGTCAAGGACATCAAACTGGTTTATAAAACTGGCTGAGATTACGACAACGTTTTGCAAATCATTTGAGTTAAATTGTTGCAGATTCTTAATTATTATAAAACAAAGTTTAGCGCATATATGCATAAAATTCGTCCCAATAAATGCAAAATAAATAAAAATAAATGGAAATAAATTTTTTTTATTAATTGTCTCTCCACAAGAAATTATTCAATCAATCAGTTATATACATGCAATAATATAATTCATTGATTTCAATTAAAATTAGAAAATATATAAATGTATACAAATATGTAATAATTTTAAACAATTTTGAAATATATTTAATATTTTTTCAAAACTTCTATGTTATATGTGATGTTATTTTTTATTAATATGATTTCATTACTATGGAATGTCTAGAAGTTCATTAATGAATATAAGATAATATCAATCGGCATCAGTGAAAAAACAACCATATTTTTATGCATTCTCAGATAGTTTTTCAATGCTATTTTAAAGTAATATGCTTCAAAAGATTTCTCATAAGCCTAATTTTAATGTAATTTAAGTTTATTTTATATATTATGCTGTTATCATATACTAATAAATAAAAAACTTTGAGAAAAAAATTAAATTAATAATTTCTCTAAAACATTATAGTTTTACAGTTACAGTTTCGTAATATTCTTACTTTCATAAATATGTAATAAGATTCTTACTTACCATAAGCAATCGTTAGTAGTGCAGAAACGTGCTTAATAATCTGCATGATAATGCACTAGTGAAAGACCGAGAATTGTTGATCTGCGTCTTCTTATAAGACGCTGGATCACTAACTGCGATTATCAACCTGTTGCTACAAGACTGAGATGACTGGGGATAACCCAAGCAAAACATGCGCGTCAGCTCTGTGTGTGCGTAAATGTGCGGGGATGCACAATGAAAGTATGTATGTGTTAAAATATGCTACAGATAAATCAACAAGCATCAACACAACGATGATGTATGTGAACACATTTTCACAATTTAGTTCAAAGAACTCGTACAAAAAAGATGATATGTATATGAAAATACACGACTGAAGAATTATTACTCTCTGTGTGTGTTCCAGGTTTGCATAGAATCATTCAAAAATTTGCACAAGAAATTATAATTATATTTATATTAATTAAAAATTATACTTACGCGAAATTATAATTATAGTCTTGAATAAAAAATAATTAAAAATTTTCGTTTGATAAATAAAAATATTTGTTTCTCCTTGAATATTTTATTGTATTTTTTTTTTGGTACAGAGACAAAACTATATATTTTATATATTATTGTCCTTCTTGGTCTTCATTATCTTCCATAGGAAGTTCTTCTCTATTATTGAATGAATGAGAGGGAAGACCTGCTATCCATTTTAATGTTCTACATAATATTGATTAAGGCAAATGAAAGAAAATTTTGAAAATGCAAAAATAAAATAAAATTATACAAAAAATATTGTTCACATTTAAAAGGATACGTTTGTTCTGTAATCTCGGTATCCACCATATATTTCAAAATATATTCCTTCTGAAATTTTTCTACTTCATCTTCACATTCTTTCCAGTCCAATGTTTCATGAAGACCATCTGCACCATATCTCTTACCATAATAATCATAGTGCACCTGTCAATAATCATATAATATATATATATATATATATATATATATATATATTTATATAATATATATATTTCTTGGATAATGGATGTTTTAGACAATTTAATGTTTAAATAAATAAGTTATGAAATAGTGATTTATAATTCCTGTTAATATTATATTAACTGCAAACGATAAATAATATAAATTCTATATTTTAAACATAATATTGCAAATATATAACAAAATTTCTTACATGACATAGACATAATCCTAAGCTAGGTGCAATCGGTATTTCCAACCTATCCATTGTCTTAAATGCTTCATTGATTATTTCCTCAGATATAATATTCCTCGCAATCCCAACTACAACTGCGACCATTTTTCGAATTTGATGTAGCATGAAACTTTGTCCTTTAATTTCTAATATTGCGAATTCCATACCATTCGAAATAAACGTTTCCACACAATGAAATTTGATTATGTAACGTTGGGCCCGTGGGTCTAATGGTTTTCTGAATAAAACAGAACATGTGCTTTAGTTTTGAATATTAAAGACAAATAAAAAAATACTATCAAAATAATACTATTTACACTTTAGATGTAAAATTATGAAAATTATGTGTGCCTTCCATAAGTTTTAAAATTGAATTTAATCTATTTAAAGATTCTGGAGATAATCTGTAGTCAACATATGACTTTCCATCTATAGTTGATAATTGTTTGATTCTTTCTTCTTCATTAATTTCTTCTCCGATTTTTAACAATGTCAAATCCTCTGGTGCAAATGCAAAAGTAGGAATGATGTATCTATAAGTACGCGCATCACATTGGTTTTTGCTATTAAAACCTTTTGTCACTCGCTTTATTCCAAATATTTTGATTACATCAGGTAAAAATTTATTTATTACTGTTTTGTCAGGCTTTTCCGCTGTAAAATATATTTAATATTTAATAGTGTAATAATAGTTTTTTAATACTTTAAATAAAAAAAGATATTTCAACTATTTTTAAATTTAATAACAAAAATCTGAATTTCATTATGAATAATAGCTTAATAAAAAGTATTATCATGAAGATATTAGATTAAAATATAAAATAAAATATAAAATAATATAGTAAACATAAATTAAAAGGAATTTAATTTAAAATTTTTGTAAAAAATCTATAGGCAAAAATCTATAGATTAATATTATTAAAAATCTGTCTTACGCAGCTTCAGTGAAACAATTTGCCTAATTGCTGATACTCCTTTGTCTGTACGTGCAGCTCTTTGAAAACTGATTGAACGTATATTTTTGAAATGTTCTGTAGTTATTAAGTCTGCCTTCAATAAGGCAGTAACCAAATCTTCCTCAATAGTTTTCATACCAGGATTTCTTTGCATGCCATAATAATCCTTACCAAGATAACCTAACAATATAGCATGATTTTTTCTCTTAATCTTTTGCATTATCTCTGTCTTTTGTATTTTGGCTTCAGTCTCATTGCCATCATCTAACATTTGTCTCTTCTCTCCATGCATAGTATTTATATCAGGCTGAGCTATAGGATCGACTGTAGTCGACATAATTCTATGACAAGTGTTTTCTAAACAAAGATTTATATAAACATTAGGTAATGATAAAATACTGTAGTCAAAGCATGATTCAAATGAAAAAAAAAATAAAATGACACAAACATTTCATTAATTTCAAGTCTGTATATATGTTATACATATTTGTTTTTATATATATATATATATATATATATATATATATATATATATGCACACATTTTTCAAAAATTTATTTTATATAAAATCATCTTGCTTATATATATCTTTATTTAATATTGTATATCATATAAGTAAATATTAATAATAATAATAAATAAATATCGTATACCTAATTGAATCTTTAACCAGTGAAGTGCAGAATTATTTAAGAGACAATGTTTTGTCTTATACAACATTAGCAATCTCTTAATTCTTCTATTTTACAAATTATATATATTCTATATTAGAATAAATTCAAACTCTCTCCTCTCTCTTTCTCTCTCTCTCTCTTATCCTTTAATTAATTGAAATTCACGTCATTTATAGTATATATCACTTTAGAAAAAATGTACGAGTTTTAAAAATCCACAATATATACATATAAATTAACCTAATACGAGATTTTGTTTCCTAAATTCCTCGTAAAGCCGCGTTATCGTATTCACTTTTGAGAGTGGAATCATTTACTCTACCGATAAAATCATTGGTAAAATTATCAACAGCGCAGCGAGTTGATCGCGCCATCTATTTTTATGAGGATAACCACTTCGTCGGCAATATCATTTTCACAATATTATCATGGCTTGTGATGTGTTGGGATTCTATTTGATTAGAATTGATTATAATTCGCGCTGATGCGATATAACTCTGAAACGTAAAATAAAAACACGAAGTTTTACGTGATCGTGTTTCTCTCTTTTACAATTCTTAATAAATAAATAAAGTCTTTAAAAATGCTGAAATATGTAAATTCAGTATTTACTTATGGAAAATTTATACAGGTTAGATACAGCATCTTTTTCTTTAGAGAACTAAAAAATTTGCAATAACTGATTCTTATTACTTAATTATTATAATATGAAATTTAATAAATTAATAAAGAATCTCTCTAAATATTAAGATAACTCTTCTAAAGGAACATTACTATAATAATCAAATTATTTGATTTCTTTTGTGAAATATATAAAATTGTTTTAAAAATTGTCTATATTAACTTAAATATATAGGTAGTTATAATTTTTAAAGCATTTTTTAAATATTATATATAGATATAATATATTTTTTTTTTTTTTTTTTATATAATATATTTCATATAATAAAAGAATCATTTATTCAAGTACAAGAAATTGTAATACAAGTGTATTAAATGGTGAGATACCTAAACGGATATAATTTTGTTTCAGAACAAACTATCATTATTTAGTGCTATTAATTATCCTAATGATTTTATACAAGTCAGACATATCAACAAGCATTGGAATCCAAAATTTAAGAAATTAAGAAGAGAAAAAGTTATTAAAATAAAGCTTCCAAATTTTAATAAAGATAATGATGATCCTATGAAAATGTATAAGGAACAAATACGATCGCGTATGAAAGAGTTTGGTTTTATCCCCCAAAAAACTTGGCAAGAGAGATCAACATTTATCACCTCTACTCCTACGATTTTTGAAGCTTATATTGCTCCTGAAGGAGATGGAAAATATTCTGCCATCACAAAAGAGGTATTTTCTTTCCCTTTTTTTAACTCAGTAATATTATTCATCTCAGTAATTTATATAACATAATTTGGAAAATATAAAATACATAAGGTACATGTTTTATAAAATACATGTTTATTTTCTAATTTTTTATTAAAAAATTTTCACCAACATTAATTGCTGAGTTTTAATATAATAATTAATATATATAATAAAAATTTTATATATATATGAATTTTTTAAATTATTATTTTCTGATATAGGGGGCAAAACAAAAATTTACATTTTTGGAGAAAAAGGGCAAATCTTTAATGGCTATTAGAAAAATTAAAACATTTGATGATACATTTAAGACGTCATATTTTCTAGAAGAGGCTACAGAAATTTATCAAAAAGCACATGAAGCTTTAGCTGCGTAAGACACAATATATATAATATTCTTATAATTTCCATCATACAAATATTAAAAATTAAAGAAATTATGAAAAAATAAAATTAAAAAATTATGAAAAATCAATAAATATTGTCTTTGTTTATTTAGAGTAACGTTATTAAATAAAATAATTGTTTTAATTTCAGAAAAAAGAAAGGAATGTTAATAAAATATGTTACAGAATCAGCATATCCTGTAAGTTCAAAATTTATTTTATATTGCTCCTAACTTAGAATAAACACAAATCTATGTCATAATAATATATATTAAGATAATTTTTACATTTTTAGAAAATGATACACAACTTGATGGATAAAACTATACATTGGAAGTTTTTAGAATCTTTAGAACCAGCTCGTGTTGTCCATGCAAGGACTACAGATGTGATAACAAAGGAAAATGTTTTTGCACAACTTACTGTTCGATTCCACACACAACAGGTAACATATTACTCTTTGTAATTTACTTCTTTCATAAAATATTAATGATTTCTAAACTAAAAAGCTCCTCTTTCTTTGCAGATATTAGCTGTTTATGATAGATTTGGTCGTTTAATACAAGGAAGCGAGATTCTGAGGAAAGATGTATTAGAATACATAGTATTTGAAAAGCATTTAGCTAATGAATATGGCGCATGGCGGATTCATGGTAAAATTATACCATCTTGGATGACTCCGACAGACATAGCAGAAAGCACATATGTTTTGAAAAATTCGGAAGAAAAATATGATCCTGAACCTAGTGAACCTCATCCTGTGGAAACTACCTTAGTAGAAGAAAAGGATACGAAAAATGTGACGAGTGCACAATCTTCATGAATTATAATAAATAGGTATGCTAGATAATGATTGTATTATATATTGTTGATAAAGTAAAAATATATCAATTTATATATCAAAATACATTTGGGATTATTTTGTGATTGTAATACAGGAAACAAAACAAAAATTTACATTTTTGGAGAAAAAGATTTATAATGACCGTTAAAAAAAATTAATCGTTTAATAATACGTTTGAAACATTTTAAAATGTTTATATTTAATAGAAGGCATACTAATAATCAAAATGTATTTGTATTCCAACAAAATTTGATAATATATTCAAAATACATGCATTATTTTTTTCTAAATTTTAATTTTCATTAATGGGGGGTAATCAATAATAACACTTCAGAATACAAAAAATATTCTTTAAAAGTTTTCTTTGATATTACTCACATACATATGTAGTTACTTATATCATTATGCTTCACAGTATTACTGTAAATTTATTAAAATTTTAATCATTAATGATAAATAATTTTTATAAAATACATGTGTTTAAATTCCTACTTGTGAATAAATCTTTTGTAGATTACACATATTCACAAAGATATAAAAACACATTTAATCACAATTGCTTGAGTTTATAAATGAATACGATTTTTTCGATTATGAAGATAATAAAAGCAATTATCATCCCACAGCACAACACTGCAATTATTAAACAAACTTGATATATTTCAATTGGTTGCGGCGTATTGTCATCGTAATTCTGTTTATCTTTTTGTTTCAACCAACGATCTCTTAATATATTCAACAGTCCAACTTCCTTTAACTTGAGAATCCTATTCATAAATATTATTTGTTTATGTGTCAAATTACTGTAATATGTGATTATGATTATAAAATTGCTTTATAAAGTTGCTTTATAAAACTATAAAATAAACAATATACCGAATATTTTGAAAAATGAAATCGTAGCATTGATCTTTTCTAAATAAATTTCTTTTCTTAACAAATAAATTTAATCAAATCAATAATTAACTTATTTAACTTTATGTCCATATGCTATTTGTTTCTATTTATTTTAAAATTATTTAGATAGATTTAGAAAATTAAGAAATCTAATTACAATAACAAACATGTATAATAGTTCTTTTCTATTATTCGATTTAACCCAAGTTAGATAAATATTCACATAATGGAAATAGTGATTCATATAATGGAAATTACAAAATAGAAGTAATTTTGCATACATTTGGGCAAATCATGTTATCACATATTATTTTATTGAAGAATTTATGATACTATAAGGATTTATTGCTGATTCTTATAATTTTTGAAACTTTGTCTAAAATATTATCTTATGCAGATATTTCTTTACCCAAGATCCACTGTCCTTTTATACTTAAAATTTTTCACAATGCCGGAAGCAATCCATATTTTTACTAAAGGTCTACCAGTCGGAATTAAATGACACATAGTATGTTCTCTCATTCTGTGATCATCTTCACTTTCGTATATAGCATATTTGTTTTTTTGCAGGGAACATGCCATTTTTTCCATTTTTCCAATAGTTGATATTATAAACAAGCGTTTTATCTTTCTTGCTTGCACAATTCGCGGATCAGAGTGTCCCTATAAATTTTAAATAGTAAACATTTAATATATAAAATGTTCAACGGCGTATTTCTAAAACATTAAATAATATTTTTTAAATACACACATATGTAATATTATTAAACATATATTTATCAAAATACCTTAAACATCATAGCTCCAGTAGAACCTTTTAGAGTGACAACGCTATATTTAGTATTAGCTATTAAAGAAGTGAAACTATCGAATGGTGATACATAAACATTCCTCGCCATATAAATGAATAATAGAGCACCAAATGCTATGTATATTAAAGAACAAAAAAGACCTAGTGATACTTCTAATATCTTTGATTTTCCATTTAAGAATTCGGGAATGTAACCTTCATATATAAATATACATGTATATAACAATTATTATTCTATTACAAATTAAATAATATTATTATATATCACTATATAAATTATTATTATTATATTACAAATTAATAATGACTTCTTATTTTATCATTGTTATGATTAAATAATATATTTATTTTATAGTGTATTAACTTATTTTTTTTTTTAAATTACAGCGTATTAATCAATCATTTTTACATACTTTGATTGCAGAGATTTCCGAAGTTATAAAATAAATGTTCGTTGAAACTCGTGTTTCGGTATTTATCTTTATTCCGTGCAAAAATATTTTGCGTTAAAAAGGTGCATACGCTTATTAGTATATGCATTATTAATATAGTGAACCATATTTGCCAAGAGAAAACTCTTAACATCCATTCATTGTCATGTATTATTTCACGACGAATATAGAAATGATAACTATGAAATTATTTTAAAATTATTATAATTATCTATATGTAATGTAGTTTATATTACATTTATAATACATTTTATAACAATGAATTAAAAAAACAAAGAAAAACTAAAATTTAAGAACTTTGATAAATTAAATTGATATACTTGTTTATTCCAAAAGGTATTGTAAAATCAAGAACCATAAGTCGCTCAACAAACGTATCGACCCTTGGTATTACAATCGTTTCATTGCGAGAAATAATACCTAATAATCCGTCTTTATAAATTCCGTCTTTCTCTGGAACACCCATGCCGTCTACGTTTACTCTCACTGGCTGCAATCTAAAAGAATGAAATATCATTTGATTATTGTTTGTTATTAGTTTTGATTTCATAACATGAAAATCTGTTTTTGTGATCTAATTCGTGCTTACGTAAAATTCAATAATTTGGAAAGAAGAATCCATATTTCACCGTTAATTCCTGTAATCTTTGTATCATTATCGTAAAAATCAAAAAAATACTCTTCCTGAAAAATATAATCGATGAAATTATCATTCAATCTGTCGTTAATTCATACTTCTTAATAGGTCATTATTTAGTAAGCTACAAGCAATCTCTGTTATCAATTATTTATCCTTTCACGTAAATTTTTACAATCTCAATTAAGACTGGAATTTAAGATACCGCAATTTAAAATTTTATAATTTAAAAAATTTTATATGAAGATAAAATAATAATAAGTTATTATGCTTTTATTAATTAGAAAATATTGAAAAAATAATATTAACCAAAAGTATACATATATATTTTTTCTTTTTATACCTTGTAAGATGTTACGGTTAAATTCTGCAGTTGAAAATTGTGAGTCTCGAGTGCTCGGCTCTGTCTGTAACGTTCTTGTTGTATCATTGCAAAAATCGGTATACTGGAAATCGGCACAAAAGTCTTTTGCATTCTATTCCAAATAATACCATTCATTGTCTCAGACGATGGAATTTTATACAATATAATCAGAAACAATAGCCGTTTCATAAAAATATATTGTTAACACTTACAAAATTTATAAGGTTCAGCTTTGGTAGCAAGACTCGAATTATTTACAATTTACATATCCGCTAATATTCAAGATCAATATCCAAGAAAAAAAATGATCATTATTAGATTGATTTCCATGATAGATGAAAGGTATGTCATTATGTCACTTTAGATAAGATCTTTTTTCTTTTTTTTTTCTTTGAAAAATTGCGTTATGCGTACATGTCAAAACATAATCTTTAGATTGTTTTATCTATTTTTATCTATATTTCTATTTTCTATATTTTATTTAATATATACAAAAATAGTTGTATATAAAAAGTGAAAATATATAAAAATGAAATAATAACAATGAATAAAATAAAATAAAATCAATGTATAAAAATACATAATCTATTCAATATTTGCTTTTAGAATCATTATTTTTGATCGGAAAAAAGGTCTTGTATCAGGAATTTTATATTATATCTATATAATTTATCGTGATATCAATCAATTTTCTAATCAATTTTAATCGTTATTACGATTTGCGGAATTTTGCTTCGACTATTGCATTTAAAGAGACACATTAATATGTTATCATAAAAGTCTAATGCGGACATTGAAGATAAAAGAAATCAATTTTACGTATCGAAATATTCAATATAAATGTAACATGAATAATTATATACATACAAAATCTTGAATTGTGAAAAGCGTTAGATATATATTTTATTAAAAAGCATAAATTATGACATATACATTTTGTCGCGTAATTTCAATTGCTTGATGCATAATTATTGTTTCTGTCTATGTTTCTTATATAATCATATCTTTTTATTATTAATATTTATTAATATAAAAGTTTGCATTTAAATTTGCAATGAATATAAATGCAATATTAAAATCTTATTTATTACATGTTTCTATAAACTACTTGATATTAGAAACTATTATTTATTATGAAATTAAAGAAGAAAAATTAATTAATTGAAAAGATATAAGAAGAAAAAAATTTTTATTATTGAAAAAGTTATACACATATTATTCATTTTTTTTTAAATTCTAGTTATGTAATATATTTTTTCTATTCTAAGTGTATCCAAAATTTATTTACGTACGTCTATGCAAAACATTTTTTATTTCATAATAGTACATTATGTTTTCTAAAAGGAGTATCGCAAATGATATAAGCGTTCCCCAACAGAGTATTAGAAAAATTAGATAAACTTGATGCAAGTCGATCGTCTTGAACTGTATTTCTTCTATATTCTTATATTCCTCCATTCTTATATCCATCCAACGATCTTTAAGAGCGTCCATTAATCCAACTTCATTAAATTTGATGAGTCTGGAAAATACAGTTTGACAATGAAAAAACATGTGATATCTATTAATTAGACTAATAATTCCTTAAATGATCAATGTATTAAAATTCTAACGTTTATATTTGTGCAATACTTACGCATAATCTATATTTTTTTTGTAAGGATAATGCTTCTGAAATCCAAATGATATATAAGTCTTGTTGTAATTACCAATAGCTATGAGCGGGCAATCGTTTTTTTTATTCAATGCCATAAATCGATCGTCAATCTCAAACATTGCATACTTCTTTATATTACTGCAAATTGTGTTATGCATATCCTCTGCAATATCTATGAATTGAACACGCTCAAGTAGATTTTTACCATTCACATTATTTCCATATTTATTCTAAAATAATAAGTGATAATTTAAAATGTACATGTTGTTGTTCCTAATTTATTTTTTAATTGGTTTGTAGAAAATATTTAACACGCATATAATAAAATATTCTTGTAGAAAATATTAACACGCATATAATAAAATATTCTAAATGTTTTTTATATAATTATATAATTTATTATATAATATTTTCTAAAAATCATTTTGCAAAATATTTATATTATATTTTACAAATATATATATATATATATATATATATATATATATATATAACATATAATATATATGTCTACCAAATTTTGTGTGGCGTGTGTGGTGTGTGGCGTGGTGGCGCGTGTGCGTGCGTGTGCGTACGTGCGTGTGTGTGCGTGTGTGTGTGTGTGTATACATATATATTATCTGTTAGAATATAAATAAACTCTCGAATGATTATAATATGAAAATTTCTTTCGATATCGTACGAAAATTAATTTTGCTACAGATGTTTAACAGATTATATTTATTAATTAAAATTCCTACATTTGAATCGAAAAAAAATTTATGTAAATAATTTTTAATATTTACGTTAAGATCATAGTAAATGATGGAGCCACGAAATGCTAACAGGATTTTCTTTGTATTGGAAAAAAGAGTATCTACATCCTTAAATGGTAGTATCGTTTCTTTAACCGTCATGCGATATATGAGATGAGAACTAAAAGCTAACAATACCAGCCATGCGAATATACTTTTTGATATTGACAAAATCTTAAATTTGTTGTAAAAAGCATCAGGTATGTATCCTATAAAAAAACATATATTATCATAATTCATCTTCCTGTAGCATTAATTGTTCTGTAAACTGTAATGCATAATTATTTATAACTGGAAGTTTCGTTTTACTTTATTACATTTTACGTTGTTAAAAAATTCTATTAATAAAAAGTTTTGATAAAATTATTTTGTCAACAAGATTAATGCGTTTTTACTTAATTTTCTTAATTGTATTATGTACCTTGTGCGCACATCATGGCGAAAGAATGAAAAAAATGATCATTTAGGCTGAAATTTATGGAAATTTTATTTTTGAGCTTGTAATCCATCAGTAATTTTTGCAGAAAATAACCAATGAAACTTAGGATAATAAACAGGAATATTATAGAATACCATGTTTTTGGGCAAAATAGCGTAAATACCCATGTATTATCAAATTGCAATTCCGGTTGAGTATAAATGTGAAATCTGAAATGTCAATTCATCAACAATTCATTATTATACTGCAGATAATAAAAAAAATATAAAACAATATTTCTTTTTACATCATTTTGTTTTTCACTCGATTATACAAGAAAACTTCAAATAATAATTTAGAAATGCGCATTGAAAATAATTTCTCAGTAATTTATTATCAAATACATATTGTAAAATCTCACTCGCTTATCCAAAGAGGTACTGTATAATCCAAGAGATCCATACGATTTATAAAATATCCAGTTCTCATGATTGCCTGTGCTTCATTTCTCATTAGCATACCAATTATGCCGGTATAATTGCCGTTTTTAAGCCTCTCACCAAAATTTCGATTAGTCGTTTTCATTGGAATAAATCTGAAAAATGCGATAATTTAATTAATGATTAATTCATGATTAATAAATTCTCCATTGTGCAATTAAATGAATGCACAATATTTCAAAAATAAGTGTACTGTTCTTATTCAATGATGTATGAAAAAAAATGTATCGTTATATACGTGAAATTGAGATAATCCGCAAGAAGATACCATATTTCGCCACAAATACCATTAACTTTCGTGTCATTGTCATAAAACATTACCATATTTTTTTCCTATAATCAAAAAAACTTTTTTATAATAGAAAGACATTATTATAAATATATGTTTTTTCAATATTGTAACATACTCTTATTACAATATTATAACATAAAGAAATAAAACTTTGCGAATTTTGGTACTGTTGATGTCTTTAGAATCACTTCGCACCTCATAATATACAGCTCTTACTATTTCATTTTTCATATCACTTATTATTTCACGTTTGGCTAAATTTTCCTTTTGAAGAGCAGCAAATTGCGGGATACTAAACAACTGCACAAATTCCTGCTTTTGTTTCAACCAAATTATTCCGCTCACAGCACAACAGCCAATGATTGCAAGTTGAAAAACCATAATTGTTAATATGCATTTCTCAATCATTTTCGTAAATTTTTAAGCGTTAATCCAATTTTATGTTGATCATGCAACATGAAGTTTATAAACTAAACTTATAAACATAACTGAGAATATATTAAGTTGCAATTTTTAACAAGATATTACGATACGGTTTATTATTTCCTTTCATATAACTTTTAATGCATAGTTATTACGAGATCGTCGAAAATTGATATCACGTAATCACTTTTCTCGATTAATGGATGTCAGATATTAATCGCATTCATCGATAATAATTTATTTTAATGGTATTCACCGTGACCAGTAATGTCTTATTTTGTCTTTCAATCAAATATATTTGCTATTTTTTTATAAACATACTTTAAAAAATTTATTTTTTTATAAATATTCAAAATGATTGATGTTAATCTTTCACAATTTGGTTCTTTCAGAAATGTACAGAATTCTTTCAGTAATATGTCATTTAAGACCGAGATTTAAGACAATATAAATTTGCAATTTCAAATGTTATAATTTCAAAAATTTTACATAAAAATAGAATAAGTTATTATGTTTTTATTAATTAATAAATATTGAAAAAATAATATTAATGAAAAGTATATATATTTTTGTATTTTATAGTTAAATTTTACAGTTAAAAATTGTGGGTCTTGCGTGCTCGACTCTGTGACGTTCTTATTTTATCATTGCAAAATTCGGTACATTGGACATCGGCACAGAAGTCTTTTGGATTTTATTCCAAATAATACCGTTCTTAGACGATGGAATTCTATACAATATAAGAAATAATAATGATTTCATAAAAAAATATTGTTAACGTTTACAAAATTTAAAGTTCTTATTTTGGTATCAAGGCAGAATTACAATTTACATGTCCACTAATATTCAAGATTAATATCGAAGAAAAAAGTGACCAAGTGACCCATTAGGTCGATTTTCTGTGATAGGTGAAGCAAGGTATGTCAGTGTGTCATTTTAGATAAGATCTATTTCTTTTGAAAAATTGCGTTATGCGTACATGTCAAATCATATTCTTTAGATTATTTTATCTATATATTTCTATTTTCTACATTTTATTAAATATATGCAAAAATAGTTGTATATTGCAAATATATAAAAACAAGTAATAACAATGAGTAAAATAAAATCATTGTATAAAAATATTCATTATTACTTTTAAAATCTTTATTTTTGATCGGGAGAAATATCTCACAAAAATCGAGTATTTTATATTATATCTATATATAATCTATTTATCATGACTAATTAATTTTAATCGTTATCACGATTTGCAGAATTTTGCTTCGATTGGATTTAAAGACACATTAATATGTTATTACAAAACTTTAATGCGTGTATTGAAGGCGATAGAAGTCAATTTTATATGTCGTAATTTTCAATACAAATACAACATGAATAATTATACAAACTTTCTTGAACTTCTAAAAAGTTAGATATGTAATCTATAACAAAATATAGATTATAATACATCTTATCGTAACTTCAGTTGCGCGTGAAACATATTTATTTTTTGAGTGGACCTCTATGTTTTTTTATATATTTTTTTATTAAAATATATTAAATGTATTTTATTAAATGTATTCAAAGTATCTGTTTTCTTTATATTATTTTTTTTCTTTATATGAAGATTTTAAAGATTATATTGTGTCAAATTTTGTGTGACACATAATATTTATAAAAATGCGAAATTATAACTTTTATATTACAATTATGTTAATTTTACTTTATATCACAATTATATAATTTATACGATGAATTAACTCATAAGTGTATCAAGAAGACGATTTTGTTTCGAAGTAAATACTTTGCATATTTTATATGTGTTGCATGTTTTTATGTGTATACTTTGCATATTTTGTATGTTATGTATTTCTTATGTATTGCTTATAAAGTGGATTTCGATGCGATAGGAATTTATATAAACTATTTATATAAACTTATATATTTATATTTATAATAATTATTATGTATAATGAAATTATATTTTAACAATTTTGTTCTAGTTACTTGAATAAGTATCGATGTAACATATATATATATATATATATGTGTATATATATATATATATATATATATATATCACGTCGATACTTATTCAAGTAACTAGAACATATATAATATATATAATATATATATATATATATCACTAAAATGTTATAAAACATACGCCAATTAGGTTCTTCTGCTATGTGATACAACAAAAGAAAAAATTCAATTGCAAAAAGATAAATCTTGTCGAAGATCATGATGTACAAGTAATGAGTATCAATCGGGGCGTAATTACTTATAATGATTTAATGTATCACAGCGACAGCTGTTTATCGAAAAAAATATATATAATATATATAAATATATAAAATATTTCGTGTGCTTTATGTATTTGAATAAATATCAATGCAAAATATCTATATAAACCATTATCTCATAATATATATTTCCAATGAATGTCATGTAATAATATTATGTTTTAATACTTTTCTGTTGCGTAGCGTATAAATATGATATTTGTGTGACCATCGATGATTTATTGAAATCTCTATTGTTCGTGCGCATGCGAGGTTAATCTTTTTAAAGATATCGCGGATAACCGTGAAATACAACGAGCGTTTTTTCTCGCGTTACATTCTCGACATAATTAAATGCACCTGCCATTAAAATCGGAAGTTTTGTGTAAAGTGCCGCGTGCGCATAAATTATATTCGAATGTGATCAGTGTAGTCATAATTAATTAATTTCCTTTGCGAATGTATGCTTAATTGTAATTAATTATTTTTTTAATGCCACAAAGGAGTGACAAGTAAAATAAGAGAAAAGGAATAAGGAGTTGTAATGATAACAAGCTGTAATGATAACAACAAAGCAATCATGAGGTGAATAATTTATTATTTATTTATTATTTTTTATAAAATATTCGATAAAAGACAAATTTTAATGCACGCAATAATTACTTCTTGAAATATTAAATATAGTTTGAACTTTTCTTAATTTAAATTAAATAAATATATTTGTGTATTCTACAGATCAATGCTCTGTAATACGCTGTGTAACTTCATAATGAAAAACATTTTAAAATCACCGGTGCAGGATCTCTAGAATACGCTCCTAAAGTTTAGTGCATCATTTCAGATACACCCTGTATATAATAACATCTTATTTGTTATGTATTTCTATAAATTATTTAATATTAGAAGCTATTATTTGTAATAAATCATATTCAAAATATTAAAATTATATTTAAGAATATAATAAAAATTAATGTTAAAAATATTATTGATATATAAAACTCACAAATCCTCATGATGTCTTCAAATGAGCAGATTAAATTAAGTTAAATATTTAAGCTTAGAATATATGTGATTATTAATATGCATATAAAGATGTATATATACAAGTAATTTAGACATTATTTTTATTTATGCATTATTTATTAGGTTCGTCATTTAATCTCGTAAAAAATATTTTTACAACTTTAATATAATTGGTATAAAGTTATGAAAGTTATGGTAAAATATTTTTGTTAGAAAAAGGAATTGTTTAAACTTGTGAAAAATCTGAAAAGATAAAAATATTTAGCATCTTCTAAATTCTCATACTTTATAAACAAAATCGAATATTTAAATTAATAATTGCCAAAAAAGTAAAATCAAATTGAATAAAAGAGAGATTATATATTAAAGATTAGAAAAATTAATTAATTAAAAGATATAACAGGGGAAAAATCTTTATTATTATTGAAAATTTTATTAGTATTGAAAAAATTATACGTATTATTCAATTTTTTAAATTCTAATTGTATAATATATTTTCTAACTATAAATGTAAAATATTTGTTTAAGTACATCTCTATATAGAACGTTTTCTTTTTTCGTAATAGTATATTATGTTTTCTAAAACAAGTATCACAAATGATACAAGCGTTCCCCAACATAGTATCAGAAAAATTAGATAGACTTGATGCAAGTCGATCATCTTGAACTGTATTTCTTCTATATTCTTATATTCCTCCATTTTTATATTCATCCAACGATCTTTAAGAGCATCCATCAGTCCAACTTCGTTAAATTTGATGAGTCTGAAAAATGCAAATTGACGATGAAAAAATATGTGGTATCTATTAATTAAACTAATAATTTTATAGATGATAAATATATGTAAATCCTGATGTTTATGATTGTGCAATACTTACGCATAATCTATAGTTTTCTTGTAGGGATAATTTTTCTGAAATCCAAATGATATATAAGTTTCGTTGTAATTACCAACGGCTAAGAGCGGACAGCCGTTTCTATTTAGTGCCCCAAATCGATCATCAATCTCGTACATTGCATATTTCTTCATATTATCGCAAATTTTGTTATGCATATCTTGTGCGATACTTATGAATTGAATACGATTAAGTAGATTTTTACCATTCGTGTTATTTGCATATTTATTCTAAAATAATAAGTGATAAATTGTATTTAAAGTGTATATGTTGTTTTTAATTTCTTTTTTGTAGAAATTATTTAATATACGCATGTAATAAAAAATTCTAAATATTTTTTATATGTAATCTATATTATATGATATTTTTCTCCTGGAATTTATAATGAGTTATTATATATTTTTTAAATATAATTTATGTTATATCTTATATATACACACACACACACACATTATACATACATACATAAACACACACACACACACACACACACATATATATATATATATATATATATATATATATATATAAAACTCTCGAATATGATTATAATATAAAAATTTCTTTCAACGTAAAAATTAATTTTGCTACAAACAATTTTAATTTACTATACTTATTAATTAAAATTTCTATATTTTACTCGAAAAAAGGTAAATTTATGTAAATTATTTTCGATATTTACGTGAAGATAATAGTAGATGTTGGAGCCACGAAATGCTAACAGGATTCTTTTTGTATTGGAAAAAAGAGTATCTAAATCGTTAAATGGTAGCATCGTTTCTTTAATCGTCATACGATATATGAGATGAGAACTAAAAGCTAACAATACCAGCCATGCGAATATACTTTTTGATATTGACAAAATTTTAAACTTGTTGTAAAAAGCATCAGGTATATATCCTATAAAAAAGCATAGATTATCATGATTCATCTTTTCTTCAACTTTAATTGTTCTGTAAACTGTAATGCATAATTATTATTTAGAGTTGTAGCTGAAAGTTTCCTTTTGCTTTATTGCATTTTACGTTTGTTAAAAAATTCTATTGATAAGAAATTTTGATAAAATTATATTGTCAACAAGATAAAATGCGTTTTTATATATATAATTTTCATAACTGTATTATGTACCTTGTCCACACATCATAGCGTAAGAATGAAAAAAATGATCACTTAGATTGAAATTTACGGAAATTTCTTTTTTGAGTTTATAATCCATCGGTATTTTTTGCAGAAAATAACCGACAAAACTTAGGATAATAAATAAGAATACTATAGAATACCATGTTTTTGGACAAAATAACGTAAATACCCATGTATTATCAAATTGCCAATCCGGATGAATATAAATGTGAAATCTGAAACGTAAATTCATTAACAATCCACTATTATACTACAGATAATAAAAAAAATATAAAACAAATTTATTATTTCGTCTTTATGCCTTCCATCCGATTGTACAAAAAAAATTGCAAATAATAATTTAGAAATGTGCATTAAAAACGAGCAATTTCTCAATAATTTATATATTATTAAATTATACTGATATAAAATCTCACTGGCTTTTCCAAAGAACCATTGTGTAATCCAAGGCATCCATGCTACTTATGAAGTACCCACTTCTCATGATTGCCTGTGCTTCATTTCGTGTTACCATACCTATTACGCCGGTATAACTGCCGTTGTTTAGCTTCTCGCCAAAATCTCGATTAGTCGTTTTCATTGGAATAAATCTGAAAAATGCGATAATTTGATTAATGATTAATTTATAATTAATAAATTCTTGTCTCATTACACGAATAAATAAATGCATCTATTAAATATAATATTAAATGTAGTATTTAACTATTTACTGACAAAAAAAGATTTATTGTAACGTACGTAAAATTGAGGTAATCTGCAAGAAGATACCATAAATTGCCGCAAATACCATCAACTTTCGTGTCATTATCATAAAACATTATCATGTTTTTTTCCTATAAATAAAATAAAATTTTTTTATTTTACAATAGAAAAAAATTATTATAAATATACAGTTTCCAATATTGTAACAGTATCATATATTCTCTTATGACAATATTATAACATAAAATATTAAAACATAATTCTTTATAATATAAAGAATTAAAAATTTGCGGATTTTGGAACTCTTTAGAATCATTTAGAATAATTTCAATTCATTACCTCATAATATACAGCTCTTACTATTTCGTTTTTCATATCACGTATTTTTATCGCTCGACGTTTGGCTAAATTTTCTTTTTGAAGAGCAGTAAATTGCGGAATACTAGACAACTGCACAAATTCCTGCCTTTGTTTTGACCAGATTATTCCGCTCACAGCACAACAGCCAATGATTGCAAATTGAAAAACTGTAATCGTTAACATGCATCGCTCAACCATTTTCGCGAATTTTTAAGTTTTAGTTCAATTTTATGTCAACCATGCGGTATAACTGGAATATAACATGGAGTATAACTGAGAAAATGTTAGATTGTAATTTTTAACAGAATATTACGGTACGGTTTATTATTTCCTTCCTATATGACTTATAATGCACAGTTGTTACAAGATCGTTGAAGGTTGATATCACATAATCACTTTTCTGGATTAATGGACATCAGACAGTAATCGCATTCATCAATAATAATTTAGTTTAATGATGTTTAAATCAGAAACATATTATTTTGTCGACCAATTAAATATTTTTGCATTTTGCATTTGCATTTTTTTTATAAATATACTTTTTATAAATATTATTTAAATGATTGATTTTAATCTTTCTCAAATGTAATTATTCCATAGTCCATTCTTTTATATAAAGTGTTTGGACAAATTTAATACAGATATAATATAATATCATGTAATGCGAAAACACATATGTGAATATAAATCCTATGTTTAAATCCTAAATTTATAAAATATATCTTATTTTTTGTCAAGATATTATTTTATTATTTTTTATAACATTATTAGTTTACATTAAATTTTAATTTTTTGAGAGGAATAAAATTATGTAATATTAAAAAAAATAATTTTTTAATAGAGTTCTGGGAAAAATCCATATTTAATTAAATATATACTGATATTTGATTATATGGATTAATATTATATTTCTTCCCCGAGTACATATAATGAATAATGGAATGATTGATTTATTATATACAATACAGATATATTTGAATAAATAGAAAAACTATATAGAAGCGTATGGTAATGACATACTATTTTCTTCAAAGTATTTCTTATATATGATCTATAATTTATATGTCATAATTCTTGTATTTCTCGTCAATATTATTTTCTTAAAGTTAAAATACATAAGTTTTTATTTGCAAATAGTAACAAATATAATGAACTTACAAGAGGATAAAAGGGTTTATATAAATAATATAAAGCAAATTTTAAATTCTACTTTTAATAAAAATAAATAGTAAATATATATATATATATATATGTATTACAAAAAATATTAAAATATAATAATAATATTCGGATTAAAGCTGAATTTATTGGCTGGACTCATATTAATTGTTCTATAGCAAAGCCATCGAGTACAGTTACATTGATATTCTTGATATAAATAATATACTTATAAATAATTTGTAAATATTTTTTTGATTAATAGAATTTTTAATTATTAAGATTTCAATTTATACAGCATTAATTATGATTTAGAAATAAGCGCAGTATATACATGGTAGTTTTTGAGTATGAGTTAAACATTTTTATTCATAAATAAATTTTTTGTTTATTTGCAATGATATAAATAAAAATAATCATGATTGCTTGAGTTTATAAGCATACACAATTTTTTCAATTATGAGAATAATAAAAGCTATTATTATTCCACAGCACATCATTATAATTATTAAAGCAACTTGATCGAATTGAATCATTTTCGTTGTCTTAACATTATTATTATCCTTATATTTTCTTTCCATCCAACGATGTTTTAGCATATCCCAGAGTCCAACTTCCATTAATTTGAGTATTCTATTAATAAGAGTTATCTTTTTACATATATAACAAATTATAACATAATATACAGTTTTATTTACTTAAATTGCTGTTTTTTACCCAAGATCGATAGTTCTTTTGTACTTAAAATTCTTTACGATGCCGGAAACTATCCACATATCTAAATAGGATTGTCCAATTGGAGTTAAGTCGCACACAATGTTTCTTGCTTTGTATTCATCTTCAGCTTGAAATGCAACATATTTTGAATTTATTGAGGAACACACCATATCAAACATTTCTTCAAGTGTTGATGCAATGATGACGCGTTTCGCCTCTCTTATTTTTACAAAATCTTTGGTAGTACTTACCTATAAATTTTAAATAATAAACATTCAAGTATGTACAGGTATAAAGCATTCTTTAAAAAGTCTTTTAATTATATATTACAAACAGCAGAAAAATGTATTCAATGTAAAAATAATATTTGAAATTTAATTTAAATTACGTTTATTAGCATATTATATGTACAATTAATATTATAAACATGTATTTATTATTACTTTAAATGCAATATCTGCAATAGAACCTTCCAAACTAACAACGCTGTATTCAGTACGAGTAATCAAAGATTGAAGATCATTGAATGGCGATATAATAATTTCTTTTGTCATAAAAATAAATAATATAGCATTAAATGCCATAGATATTATAGAACGAAAGAGAGTTAATGATACTTCTACTATTTTTGATCTTCCATCAAGGTCTTCAGGAATATGATCTATTATAATTATAACATAATTAATTATTTTTCATTATTAATGCAGAATTTTCAAAATTAATATATTATGTGATTTCGATAAAGATTCTTGATTATAACAGATAATACATGTCACATTTTGAATTAATATTAACTTCTTTGAGTGTTTTTATGAATTCATAAAATTTAGATTTCGATTTCTAAATTAACTTTAGAAAGTTATAAATCTTTCTCTTTTTCTTCGTGAAAGAGATATATAAAAAGATATTACATAATTTTCATAAATATGACATGTAATATCTGCATTATTATTTAATTTCATTTGTGAATGTAATTATAAAAGTATAATTATTGAAAAACGAGAACATAGGAATAAAATATTCAAATTGCTTATTCACTTTGACCGCAGAGCATTCCAAAGTTATAAAATAAATGTTCGCCAAAGTTCGTGTTTTTGCATCTATTCTCAATCCGTGCGAGAATAATTTGTGACCAAAAACTACAGACAGTTAGCATTATATACATAAATAGTATCATGCACCATACTTTCCAAGAGAACACCTTTGCCATCCATGTGCTGTCATGCGTATCTTTATGGTAAATGTATGTTCGATAGCTATCAAATTGTTTTAAAATTAATATAGCCATCTATTATATAGATTATTAAGCTTTTATCAAATTATTAAAGACATATTTTACACAATATGATATGAAGTCTCTTTCTCTACGAACTAATTATTTTTTCTTTTATTTAATGTTTTACAAAACTTGTCATCATTAAACAAAGCAATTCGATATACCTATTCATCCATAAAGGCATTGTAAAATCAGCTGCCAGAAGTCGTGTAGTATATGCTTCGATTTTTGGTATAGCAATAGTTTCGTTACGAAAAAGTATGCCTAATAATCCTTGTGCATAAGTATTGTTTTTCTCTAATATACCCATGTTATGTACATTTGTTCTTACTGGTTGTAATCTAGACATACGAAATATTCCTTAATTGTTTATCGTTAGTTTTTTTATATCCTTTTAGATAATTATATAAAAATATATAGATATAAAAATAAACGAGTAATACGTTCTTAAATTTACATATATATATATATATATATATATATATATATATATATATATATAGATAGATACACTTAGAAATATATTAATTGCTTTTACAATTTAATTAATATAATCTTACGTAAAGTTTAACGATTCGGAAAGAAGAGTCCATAATTCACCACAAAGTCCTTTAACTTTCTTATCGTTGTCGTAGAATTCAAAGAAACTTGGTTCCTAAAATGTATAATCGAGAAAATCATTATTTATTTTATTTTTTATTTTTTATTATTCTCTCTCTCTCTCAATTTTTTGTATCATTTGATTAACAAGTATTGCATTATTATAAGTAATAAATGGTTTATTCATCCGTTTTCTAATTATGGAAGATATATTTTTCACGTTATTGTAAATTATCACACTTCTATGAATTAAATATCATTTATATGCAATAATATTGATTACGTTTTTGTGTCCTTAAAAATTTTTACAATTTTTACATTAAAATTTAAGATGCCAAAAATTAATGTATATAATATTAAAAAACTACAGGAAAAGTTTTAAACAATAATTGTGGGAATTTCTTTAACTTATTTTATAATTATTCATTAATTAATAAGTGTTAATTTATATCATTTAACATTAACGTAACATTCTAGATAAATTTATATATGAAAAAGGCTTGAATATTTATATATTACATAATGTATATAATATATAAAATATATAGCTTTATATAAAAATATTCATAAATAATTTTTATAATGAATTTCTAGAATGCTATGCTATGACTGCATATTATTATTAATTAATATCAAATAAATTATAAATATTAAAACGAGTTAATGTTTGAGAAATATAGATATCGCATGGTAGATAGATTTCACAGAATATCTAAGAACATTAGATATCTATATAAAAACATACTTGGAAAGATGTTAAGGTCAAATTCTGCAATTGAAAATTGTGATTTTCCAGTGCTCGATTTTGTTTGAAACGTTCTTGTTGCACCATGGCATATGCGGGTATACTAGAAATTGGTACGAAAATGTTCTTCATTTTGTTCCAAATTATGCCGTTCACCATTTTAGACGATGATAACACTCCATTGATATAATTAATCGTCTCACAAAGAGGTTTTGCCTGCACTTCGTCGACTTATAACGATTAATGACAACTACGTTATTTTGTTGCGTGATATAACTCTGAAATTATTATCGTATATCTGATCACGTTTGCTCGTTAGCAGAATAAAAGACAAATGAGAATAAAAGTGTTTGATATGTGTTTGCTTTAGATAATATCTCTTTCTGAAATTTGTGTTAACTTAATTTTTAGCATTAATTTCTAACTGAGAAAATGTGATGTATATGATAATACAACATTGATACAATATTCGATTAATCATACTTTTTGATTACAATATTTTCTATTTACTTAGAAAAAGGAATTGTATATTATTATAAGAAATTGTAGAATTACAGTAGAGATATATGCAATATATTTAAACGATGGTAGCGTTGAGATCGTGAATCTAAGATATCTTACAGTGCATTTTGCTTACGTCATTTACGGTTAATCAATTTTATCATGATCTACAAAATGTATTTGTATCTTTCCATGACGGAAAAATGCAAATTTTTTCCTTGTGATGGCATATCGATGTTATCATACAATGAAACTAGTGCAGAAGTAAAAGCAGTCAAGGACAATAATGTACATGTCATAATGCAAGAAGATACATGTGTGTGTACGTATATGTGTGAACAAATTATACATTTACAGGTATTATTTTTCATGCACTTTATCTTTTACTACTATATATATTAATAAGATACTATGTAATTAAGAATCTATCATGATATTCTATCATGATAAAAATAGTAAAAATTATTTAATGCGACATTAGATACAATAAATAAATAAATAAAGTTAAATTAAATGATTCATTATCATAATAATCATTATTATTAAAAATAATCTCGAAATATACATATAAATAATTAAACATTGTGATCATACATTAAATATAAAATATTAATATACTATTTATAAATTGTAAATATAAAAATAATCTAATTAATGTAAAATAAAGAAACTATATTATATAATTATAGTCAATTTATATTAAATTATATAATTATATAAATAAAAGTTCTAAAAATAAGTTTATCTGTATTCTAAAAAATTCATTATTCGATTTTATTAATTCCCAAGATATTTATCATAATTATTATATATATATATATATATATATATATATATATATATATATATATATATTCCTTTCTAGTAGGAAGGAAGAAATAATCAATCGCAATATATACGAAAAACATGAATTGTATATTATATTTGATTGAATATATAAAGGTCTTAAATGTATAAATGTATATAATCTTTCACTGAAGTTTTTATTCGACATAAATTAACTTAGATCTAAGTTTCTGTGGCGAACCTTCGAGGCGGTTAGGATTACAATCGATACAAATTTCTCGATTCGGAGGTTCGTCAGTTCTAGAAGTCTTATTTAACTTTAAATAGCACTTTCGCGCACTCTCCGTTCATTGTCCGTCCGGCTAACGAACATTGGAGGTAAAAACTGCCGAACGATAAGTTCAGTTTTTTTTATTTTTTCTCCAACAAACAAAACATACTTTTTATGACTTTTTTTTCACATTAATACAAAATTATAAAAAGTTATGATACAGTCTTCCTTCGGATACATTAATTCTACGTTTTTTTAAATATCGTCTTGCATTATTATTCATTTTCTGTTTAAAATAGGTATTAATTTTGCAAAGTTTATCATCAAATAGTGTCGAATCGAATGGCAATAATTTAGTATTCTTTTTAAGATGTATATTGTATGTTCTATACATAAATAACATGTGATTTATACATGTGAACGCTGATAATTTTCCGTTTCATGTCACTGATTGTTAATTGATATTAAATCTTAATTTTATTTGCATTTTCGAGGTCAAAAAATACTAAAGATATATGGTCGAAAAATTAGTAACGTCTGACGAATTTCGTAGTAAATTATCTCTCTTATTAGTAATGTAAAATTATACTATATATTAAAACTTTTTTAAATATTCACAATGTGACACATGGGGGAAGCCATGAATATTATAATAAATTAATTTCTCTTATGTTTTCCGACATATCAGGCGTTATGCGCTCCACAATTAAGGTACGCCAATTATATATATATATATATATATATATATATATATATATATATATATTATATACATGTATATATAATGCAATTACAGAATAATAAATTAATAATAATAAATTAGTTTTCGATTAAAAAAGAGATCCCAAAGATTTACAGGTAAAAGATACACATGCAGTTAATATACAAATTGAATACGTTTTTGTTAACAGTCAATATTCACTATCCGGATTTGGCATACGATATGACGATTATAAAAATTGCTTTTTAAAAAACATCTTAAAATATACATTCATAAAATACACACACTCACATATTTTTCTCTTTCACGCTTGTTCTCTCATTTCCGCTTATTACAATATATATCCGATTGCGCGTATTCGCATCTTTTTGAACAATTCTGTAAAGATTATTTGAAAACATGACTCATAAGATATGCCTTATATAGAGCATAACAATATTCCATACAATATTATACTCTTTGGACAGAGCATGCATAATTAAACATTCGTTTTAATGTAGATATCAATATCCATTGATATTTTGCAAGTTTCTTTTTATGAAATAGAATTATCTCTCTCTCTCTTTCTCTTTGCTTTTCTTATATATAACTTATGAGTAAACGTATAAATTATACATATATTCTCACTCTAATATAATGTTTCAATGAATATCTTTCCGTAAAAATAAAAGATAAATATTTAAAATTTTATCTTATTTTTACATGACCATAGTCATAAATGGGGAATCATATTCAAACATGATATCCGATTCTATATTCTGCCTATGTAAGTATTAAACTATTTTATATGTGTGTGATTATTAACACATATTATTAAAATAAACGGCAGTATAAAATACGTGCATGTTTATAACAATAAATAAATACAGGTGTATGGCAGTGACATTAAGTCTTGCAGTTAGCTTCTGTATTTCTCTTTCGTTTAATGCTATCCAAAAAAAGTCTTCAATAATATCGTGAGAATACATACCATATGTCATCCGAAATACGCGATAATATAAAATATGTGTATATTTGTAAAAATAAATAAATATACATATATATGGCAGGGATTAATGTTGCAGTAGCTTTTTGTATTTAGTCTATTCGTTTGATACTATCTAAAGGAATATCCGATAGTGGCGTGAAGATCCGATAATGTTTTATCATTATTGACGATTTATTACGACAAATATACGAAAAACAGATACATTCGTCGCAAAGTCGTTTATTTCGATACTCTCGTCTCAGTTGTGACTTTACTGGGGTCAGGTAACCTGACAACCAACTGTGCACCATTTTGTAATGATCTTGGACCATTGTTGAGCGCATTCGATTTAGGCACACCTGCTTGAGGTGCTATTGCAGGTAAAACTTTCTTCGCGCCACTTAATTTAGGCGAGCAACACTGTTTATCATCATAGACGTCATTTAGATTGACATTCGTAGTCGGATTCTGATAATTAGACGTTTTTATCGGTGTTCCGTGTTCCATACTGAAACCGCAATTCAGTCTTTGTTCGACGCAGTTAGAATTCGGAAAAGTATTCACTGCCGGCAGCATTTTTATCGCGTTATTGTGATCATTAAGATTACAGATGACCATTGGCTCAGTGCCAGTCTTCTGATCGCTTTTGTATATGGGCGCTGATAGTTGTGTTGAGTTGGTTTTATTCGTGCTCTTATGGCTACTGCCAGAATAACTGGTAATAGATTCATTGCAGAAATCGCTCAAATAAGTTCGATTTATATACCAATTGTGTAATCGGTGGTGAATCTCCGGGAACTGCGGCCTGCGATTCGCTACTTCGTGCCAACACTCAATCATTAAACTATAAATCATTGTCGGACAGTCTTCCGGACACGGCAACAATTGCCGTGAACGAATCATATCTATGACTTCCTGATTATTGTATCCGTAATATGGCTAAAGAGAAAAAAAAAATATATAAATTGTCAGAAAAAAATTCAAAATTGAAATATATTGCTTTTATATTTTATAAAATATATTCCTTTACCTGTAAACCATAGCTGTAAATTTCCCAAAGTACAACTCCAAAACTCCATACATCTGATTCGGTGGTAAATTTACCATAAAGAATTGACTCGGGTGGCATCCATCGAACAGGTAATAAACTCTTGGATTGTACTCTATAGTAATCGCTGCTGTATATATCTCGTGATAAACCAAAATCTGAGATTTTCACTGTTAAATCATCACCCACTAGACAATTTCTCGCTGCCAAATCGCGATGGACATAGTGATGACTAGCCAAATATTCCATGCCTAAGGAAAATAAATAATTATCATAAGATATATAAAATAAATAAAACAAGAAAAAAAAATTGTAATAAATCAAAGAGTAAAGTATAGTAGAATAAATTAATACTTACCAGAGGCAATTTGTAAAGCAATTTGTAAAAATTCTGGTTGCTCTAAAATTTTTCCATTACTGTTGTTCAATGGAACATCTGATCTCGGGGAATGGCAAATTAGATATTCGTGCAGATCTCCTTGAGTCATGTACTCAAAGAGCATACACATTGGTTCTCCTTTCAATATTACGCCTAGCAAACAAATAATATTTTGATGCTGTAGATCTGTCATAAGTTCAACTTCTCTTTTAAAATCGCTTTGAGTCTTTGGAGTCGCATTTTCTTTCAATGTTTTTACCGCTACATAAATAGGTGGTTCGCATTTATTTCCAGTTTGTAATTCACCCTTGTAAACTTTTCCTAGAGAGAGGAGAGATATGTTAATTTAAAGTACATTGTTTGTCAAATTTTATGATAAAAATTAATAAAATTTTTTCATTCTTACCAAAAGCACCTTCACCCAATTCTTGTAAGAGCACAATATTATTTGTAGTAAATTGCCGTATCCTATTATTAGATGTTCTACTACTGCCACTACTTAAGGTACCAGTGCCTGGTGTTATGTTACCAGGTCCTGCCAAGAGAGAACTC